AGTTTAATGCTATGTTAGAAATTTGGGAGAGTAGATGACTTTGGGTGATGACTAATGAGCCTCAATATGGTTTACTGAGCTCAAATTCAGAATACATGTGATGGTATGTTAGTTACACTCGTCGTTGGATGACCAGGGATACAACTTTATCATCTTTGTCGGTATGTTGAAATTTGATTTTACTTTGTTCATTATTATGTTTTTTTATATACAAAGTTATAAAATGATACATTTTTTATCACTTTAGGGTGATGCGATGGAAAGGTTGCACTACTTAAGCACTGATGGACAATATTACTTTACCTTTCATGAATTAAAGGACTTATCTAAGACGCTCCTATCACTAAAGAAGGAGCAAGATCACATATTAGAACTTGTTTTATCTTTAGATCCTCTAGTATAGAGTGGTAATCCTGTCGATCCAGACTTACACATAAATTAGCCGCGACCAACAAAAAGAAGGAAGTGGTTTAGGACGTCAACGAAGACAAGTGCAGGCAACAAAGTGGGCTGTCCCGGCTATGCCAAAGTGACCTGATGGTGTCTTCCTTATACCATTATAGTTTCTTTTTCAGCCATCTTATTTGTTGTCTGCCCCCGCTTATTTCCATTCATCATAGGATATCCACCAACCATCACAACCCCCCATCTTCACCATTTACAGGATCAGAAAATTACAGCTCACGACCTGATTTCTTTATGACACCTCCTCGCGAGCACCATTCTCTTTTGACTCTAGGTGCCCCATACCTCGAAGCTGAGTCTGTACCATCATTCATGCATCCTATAGAATCAGGTATTAATCTTAATGTCGATTTTGGTGCGGCTGCTGATTTAGGAGAGGTTCATCGAAACCCCCATCGAGGAGCTTGAGATAGACAGAGGCAACGCATCTTAACTCTAGAGAATCACGATCATCAGGCACATAGGAGGGAGCAGGAATGACATGTTTATATGTAGTATTTTATTTTAGATCGCATTTTAGCTGTTCCTGACTTGTATGCTTTTTCTAATTATTAACTATTTCCATATTTCATTGATATGGCATTTTGACTTTCATCACATATTAATGATAATAAGGATAAATAACATTCCCATTAAACATTAAAACATTACAAACGAACACATAAATTATGCATTTAAAAATAAAACTACAAGCACTAACTTATATGGTATATTTAACCAACATTGTTTTGTTGAGAACAATGACGTTGATTATGACCCACTTCGTTATATTTGGAACACCTTTGTCTAGTTTATGACTCAACCCAGTCTATTTCATTCCTAATACGAGTTGACTTTGGTTGGCCCTTACCTCTTGTTCTTGCTCTGTTGACATCAGGCACAAACTTCCATTCACTATTTGTAAGGATGTTGCATTCATTTCTAAGGGGGAACCACTGTGGGGAGTACGTATTTACATCATATTGCATTGAATAAACTGGGTTAACATATTGCCAAAAATTAATACTCACAACTATACAGGTCGCTATCACATGCGAACAAGGAATTCGATAAGACTGAAATCTTCCACATTTGCAAAATCTCCTATCCAATATAACTGTCCATTTGTGTCCACCCCTTTGTGTTATTGGATTAAATGCTTCTTCAACCTCAAAACTTTTTCTTTGTATGTCATACTAACAAACTTGGTGTGATGAGATTTTTTGTTGATTTTTTTGAATTTGTAACATGACTTTATGACAAAACATACTTCCATTGTGAAGGTCAGACATGGCCTCTTCTCCACACTTCACAAAATATTCAACCAATTGTCCATACGTGGCTTTAACTAGTGCAGTTATGGACAGGTTTCTAGCACCATTCAACACCTTATTCACTGCTTCTGAAAGATTTGCAGTCATGTGTCCATAACGCCGTCCTTCGTCATCACAAGATAATGCCCATTTCTTTTTTGATATGTAGTCAATCCACCTTTGTATATCTTCAAATTCATTATGAAATATAGTTAACTTTTGCTGAAATATGACCTTTGATAGTGTATAACCTATATATACAACATTCAAAACATTAAAACAATATGCGTAAATATTCAATTAAGTCTAATATTAAAATAATTAGGTAAAACAAAACAATACATACCCAATTTGATGAGGTATTTCTTCAATCCTATATTTTTAAACCGATGATTAAAATTATTGTCAATATGACGAATGCAATATACATGATACGCATTTAGAGGTTGCCACCTAATGTGTGGATTTGACACAGTCCCTTTTATACTTTGATGCTTATCTAATATCAAACAAATTCCCGATCTATCAGTAACATGCAAACGAATCAATGTCAAAAATCATTCCTATGCTGACAAGGTTTCTCCTTCAATAATTGCAAAAGCTATTGGAAAGATACAATTATTTCCATCTTGAGTTGTTGCAATGAGCAATGTATGATGATACTTACCATATAATAACGTCCCATCCACTTGTAATATAGGTTTACAGAATTTAAAAGTTTCATGACATTATTTGAATGACCAGAATAACCGTTGAAATATTCTAAACCTGTTATCCACTTGATGACCAACTATATACTCTTTTGTTTCAATTTTATAAATAGATCCAAGAGCATGTAATTACATGTATTCTAACCAACGTGGCAATATAGCGTATGATTCATCCTAATCACCAAATACTTTAATAATGACTTTTTGCTTTTCCTTTCAAACTTTTTTATATGAAATTTTATATCCAAATTGAGCACAGATTCGCTCTTGTATCAATGAAATATGTACTGACGGTTCTTCATTCACCATTCTTACATAAAATAACATTGGTCTAGTTAATAAGGATAAATATGTAAAAAAAAGAAAATAAAATTTTTGTCTTACCAAGTATGCATGAACAAATTAAATTAGAATCTAACTTTTGATGATCTTGAGAAATTCTCAAATTGACACATGTATGTGAACCACTCCACCTAGTAATTTTTCACTTGTTTGAATTCTTCAACAATGAAGCCCTCACTCTCCATGAACAACCACTGCTATGGTTTAAGCATTTAACATACAAACATATTAGTTTAGACTTAGCCACAAAATAACTTTGATGAATCTTTATTGAGTAATGTTTTAATGCATTCTTCACATCTTCTTTATTGTCAAATAATAAGCCAACGAATAAAGGATATTCGTCAACTCATGAATTGACTTCTTGACAATATTCTCTATTCATTTCTTGATCAGGATATTTCTAATTAATATACTTATACTGTGGAGTAACATTTCAAAAAGGAATTACAGTATCTCCTGCATTATATTTTACAAAAATCTTTGGCATTAATATTTAAATAAATAACTCAAAACAACTAATTTTTAAAATTATTCTACATTACCTCCTACATTTTCGATTACTTGTATATTTAAGTCAGAATTAAACTGGCCTTCAACATTAGTAGAAGAAGAATTGCTTAACGAAATTTCTACTTCATCATCTCCATTACAACTCTCATAATCTGAGTCTTCATTATCTTCATCAACATTATTTTTAACTCCTTTATTGCAACAAATTTTTCAGTTTTTTAATTCCAACAATTACATATATTACTTAAAAGATATTACAACGTAACTATTTTTACCTCCACTATAATCACGACTCACAACAGTCCCATCGTTTTGTTGTGAAAGTGATAAATTTAAATTAATCATCTACATGGGCACAAATCAACTTCTACCAACAGTAAATTTCTACTAGATTGTTGTTAAAATGCACTTATCATGCAATTAATATCTTCATTATCACATATATCCAAAGCTTTATACTGTCTAATATTTTCATCAATCAAAAAACGAGAAATTAATTTAGAAATAACTTGATTATGATTAAGATTAAGTTTCAAATGAATTTTTCTTTTCAATGCTTCAAAACGTATTCCTCGTTTTATCTTAATTACTTTCTTACTTCTTTCAAAGCTCACTCCTTCATTTCCTTCATAGATTCTACCATTCTAATATATAATAATAATAATTCCACTCATCCTGTATTTTTACAAATAAACTTTATTTAATATTTAATTTTTAGCAAAATAAAATTTAAAAATACAATAGTCATTTATTTAATTACAAATAACTAAATTCATAATTAAAATTAAAATTTAAATTGAAACAATAAATAATAAATTTATTAAATTATACTAGCCTGATTTTCTTTTAACTTTCTCTTCTTCAATGAAAAATGAGAGGTGTTCAATGAGTGTATATATAGAGTTCAAGTTTCGTCATATTATTTGTGAATTTTTCATATTGTAGCCACTTGACGCTTCTCTATTTGTTTTGCAATTTACACGAAATAGTAAACAAATTTTGCCACTGGAAGTGCAAAATTAAGCAGATGTTAACATGTGTTAAGGTCAAACAAGTTTTGCTAATTTTGTGGCAAAAAAAAATAAAAATTTTGCCATCATCTTTGCAAAATTAATCAAAACGAGACATGTGTCATCGTATGGTTAATTTCGCCAGCCGTTTTGACAAAACTCTTTGTCACGTTGACAAAATTATCCTAAACAGGAAAGTAGTTTCAAAATCACTATAATTTGATAAATAGTTTTTTAAATTACAATATTGTTATTTATTTAAAATTATATTAAATATAAAATAACAAGATAAGTTTGAGTCCCAATAAATATAATTATATTAATTTTTTAAAAAAATTTTGTCACTCATAACTATCTTACTTAACTCAAACAAAATTGTCTTCTATAAAAAAAATTTATGACAAACAAAAAAAAAAGTGAAAAGAGAAACCAAATTTCAAAGTTTTACAACGACTTATACAAAAATTCGTATATTTTGACGATAATGTCAAAAGTTAAAAAAAATGTTATACAATTTTTATAATACATATGTTAAAAAATGTATGATAAAAAATTAATAAATAATCAATCTTTATTCAAAATTATAAAAGTTAATAATATCAATCCATTAAATTTAATAATATTACATAGTTTTTATATATAAAAGATATTATTGATAGATTCTTATTATGGTATATGACAAGTAAGCACATTCAGCGTATTGTGTTCCACTTCTTCTACACTCTTCACTTTCTCTCTTGCCTCTGCATCTGATTCTAAAATTCTGAAAGACCCAAAAGCAGAAGAAGCAATGGCAGACAAGCCAAGCCGATCCCTGGTTTTGTTCGGTGATGGTTTAGCTCGTTTCATCGATTCATCACATACCCATCTTCACTCGCTCGCTTCTCTCTCTTCATGCGGTTTCTTAACTCTCCCCAATTCTCGATCTTCAGGTTCTCTTCTCTCCATTTCAACAACCATAACCTGTTTGTAATAATGCCTAAGACACACACACACACACACGTTAATTATTTTCTTTTCCATTTTTACCCCCTGCCACATTCAAATTCACTTGAATATGTAGTTTTCAGAAAGCAAGGATGAAAGGGCAGTTAGAGAATTTGCTGTGCTGCTAGATGCTTGTCACATTTATTTGAATATGGTGAGACCCATCTACACAAGTTTTGATTTTTGCCACATTTGTTTAGATATTGTGTGACCCATCTACTCAAATTTTGATTTTTGTCACACTTATTTAATTATAGTGAGACCCATGTACTCAAATTTTTATTTTTTTTTTCTTTTATTCTCTATGATGAAATATATTTGATGATTTTATTCCTTGTTAGAAGGGGCAAAACACTGATAATGATAACCAAGAAGATCCTTCAAAACAAACCTTACCTGACAGGTATTCTCTTTTTCTGTTTTCTTCTATTTTCAATTTTGAGTCAATTTGGATGATCTTCTCAAGAAAAAAAAAAAAAAAGAATAATTAATAAAAATTATTCAAAAAGTTAAAATCAAGTCACGCGCTTCAATTTTTTCATAAGCTCTTTCATCTAATCTATACATGCACTCAGGGCCTGCCATTCTTGTTATAGAAAATGTCTAAAAAGTAGAGTTTTATAATTGAAAAGCTAGGAAGCTAGAACCTAGAAGTTAATTCAAACTAGGCCATTGTTGTTTTATAACAAAACTATTTCGGGTAAAGCACTTCCTTCTCTGAATACAGGTTTATGGGAATGAAAGCTGCTATTTTGACCAACAATTTAAGCTTGAAATCTTTTAGTGCCAAACTAGGCTTCACTGTTCTTCAATTGGATGAGTTAGTAAAAAATTGTTCTGCTGAGTTGCAACATAATGTTGTGCCCCTTGGGCTGCTCAAGTTGCTTGGCTTTCAAGAAGGGAAGGTGCTAGACAACGATTACTTTGATCTTGTTTTTTTTCACATTGGAGCTGGTGAGAAGGACAATTGTTATGAACAAGACGTCGCTGCTGCTGATGCGAAGTATATGGATGCCTTGGTTGGAGAGATAATGAGCCAAACACAACCGGGATCTGACATCAGTTCGCGACTGCACTTGTCCCTTGTCATGAGCTATGGCAATGTCTTGGAGGGCGATGATTCTAAGTTCTCAGTGTCTAAGAGGGTAGAAGAGAAGAGCTCTTATCTTTCAGTGCTCTATCCTCTACAAAGTTATGCTATGAAAGGAGGAGTTCCTCGGAAGGATGTAAGGTAATTATAGTTGCATTTGGTGCGTGGAATAGAACATTAAATTTTATTATGTTATTTTAAATACACCAAACGTAAAATAAAATCCTTATGATATGATATGTATAATTGATGATTTAGTAATTCATTCTTGCTTTCTCTTTGGATTGTCTTGAATATTTACCCCCACATCAAATGGTACAGGCAACATTCCCCCATGTTAATAGCTCAATGGCAATATGCTGTGACTCGCAAGGATAACGCAGAGAGATTTTCTTTCGACGACATCATGCAGGTTTGTTTTGAGACTTTACCCAAGGTTTTATTCACAAGTTACTTGTGATTTATTCCAAATAGTGTTTCTATTTTTGCTCTGCTGCACGATTTATTATTACAAGGTCCTACTCTATTTCTTGTTGTGGTACACAACTTCTCATTCTTTGATCTTGGACACTTTCAAGTTATTGATCAACATGTGTACTCTTGAGTGTTTTTTCCTGTATACCATCAACATCTTTTATTCTGTAAGTATTTGCTGTTTTTGTAAAGTATCATGGTTTGAGTGCTACTAATTATATAATTTTTCTAGGCTTGTTATTTGTTGAGCGATAATGTGATGCTTCATTACTGCATAACCTTTACTTCACTCTATTTTTGTTTTCTTGTGATGCAGCATTGTGGAAATCTTACAATACCCGCAGATAGGTTCTTGCATGAGATAGCCTTTAAGCTGTGGAAAGCTCCCAAGTATGGAGCCTGATTTTTTTTCCTTCTCAACTTCTTGTTGGCCTCTTGCCATAGCAGCAGAGCTATTTGAAAATGTTGATTAACATGTTTATTTCATACTCTAAAGTATGTTCCATCATGAAATAACTAAAAAGATTTTGATGATTAAACGGTATACCTATCCACTCACTTCTTGGTAATGTTTTTATGAGCAGATCAGAAATTTATATTTGATATTTTTTTAGTATAATTAAACATCTTTTGAAATGTTTTAGTCTACGATTTGAAGTTTAGAACATTCTAATGACAAGCCATGCCACCATTACATGTAGAAGGTTCCTAAGTGGGAATTTTTCTATGTACGTTATTATCTCCCACGCAAGCCAAGTTTCATTTGGTTCATTAGGTTGTTAGTGCTCATCTTAAAAAGAATGTATGATTAAGAGAAATTAATTTTTATTATACAATTATAATGGACGGTTAAAATTGAAGTAAAACTAATATTGAATGAGGAGGAATCGGTCTAAATTAGTAAAAATTATATCTATTTTCACATCATTAATCATTCTTTCATCTTTCAAATTTTATAAAGAATGTAATTTTATTAATTCAATTATCGAACACATTATTTTGATTACTTATGTTAAATTTTATCAAATTAAATAATAATAAAAACCAAATAATTTATATTAATTTAATATTAAATATGATTTATATAACATTTTCAATATAGACATTTTGAGATTAAATTAATTAATAAAATGAATATAACGTATGTATACTTGAATGAATGTTCAATATGCAATGCAATTTGACGTAAGAGGTTTTTAATATTTAATATTACACCGTCATTACGACTTATTACTGACCAAACATAAAATAGGTTTCTAATATTTAATATTACACATGTGTGACCGTTGAATTTTGAATGTGTTCTCATTGCTTTCGAATTCTTAATTCGTGAAAAAATTTCACATTCCCAAACTAATTTTTCATGAGATTCTGCCCATCTTTTCATCTCAATGTTAGAAAGAAAATTGAGAATGTGCAACTCATAACAGCTTCCCTATGGAATTCAAGTTGCAAAACAGTTTCACCAACAACTAGGCAACACTATTGCATAATGAACAAGTACACTTTCAAGGTGAGGGAAACCGAAGCTATTTCAGTAACTTTTCATAAGAGAGAACTATTTCTTGTTCCAATAACAACATGTAAACCTGTTAATTGGTGAAGATGAAAGATAAATCATGACCAACCTTCAATTCAAGAGACCATATCTAGCACTCTAACAGGTTTCTAACTAGGTAAGTACCCAATAGAAACCACCCCAATAAGAGAAAAGAGAAGGATAATAACCCAAGTAAGAAAGGCCACCCAACCATGAAAACACCTAAGCAAACAACCACAACAAAAGGCAAGAAAGACCTTAAAATTGACTTGAAGTCAACCCAGTGCCCCTTGAATAGGATCAAAGCTCCTACATTTACCATGTTCCAACTCATTGATCCACCATAACATAACCGATTCAGACAGTTTGCAACGAATGAGTGGCAGTTGCAAGTGAAAAGGTTGTGAGTTTTGTTCTCAAAATACCGCAAACTCGATTGCAAGGCATCGTCCCATGTGATTGCAGTGCCATACTCGGAATGCTGGTAACCATGCTTGCATGTGTGCGCAGATAGGTTGGGGGGGAGGCAACACTGTAACATCTCAGGATCCACAGTATGTCAAATTAGAGTTTACACTTTCAAACAACTATAATTGACACTAACCAAATTTTTTAAGGCGTAGAATGAAGGGTAGAGCTTTGCAAATGAATTATTCTATGCATATATATATGTTGACACATTTATAACTGAATCACTTTTCCAAAATCAAGGTCGAATCAACATGGTAAACAAGGGCCCAACAGAGTGACAATACTCTGAGTTTGTTGGGGGTAACAGGCACATAGTTGTTCAAATGTAGCATGCATGCCTCATTACCATGCAACTGGAATTACAAGCAATCATAAACACAATAGGTGTTTAGAGTGAGGAATCAAGCACCAATACCTAACTGTGGAGAACAGAAACCAATTGCAAACTTAATGTGCTGATTTGAATTAGCATCTTAAGATATCTACTTACTTAGAAATGCCAATTTCAAATATAAGTGTAAGGCCCCTATAAGAGGGAAAAAGGTAGAATACCAAAAATTTCAGATTCACTTTGATAAATGGAAGAGTAAAAGTCAGGTAAGGAGTTTCTTATTTTAAACTAAAGGATTTATATATCTCAACTAAAACGTACAAGATTCAAATGGGACATGATTTGTAGGTTTGGTTTTAGAGAGCCCTCTGGCTTCAAATGCAACTATAATTGTCAATATCGTAGTTAGTGATGGTGTTTTCCTAATACATCAATGTTTGACCTAATAGTCTCACACACAACACCATTGACCATAAAAGTTCTGCAGTTCCTCAAAATCTCATCACCAACAAAAACCAAAGTTGAGCATAAAATGTATTGTGAAACATGCACGTATTTATGAATGCTATGCTTGCAAGAATGCAACAATCTGAAAGAAAGGGGGCAACAAGAGATTGAGATTGTAAATTTGAGAAACAGTACCTGACTACGATCAAGTTGCAAGTATCTCGCTACTGGACCAAATGCAAAATCATCAATATTCACAAGATATGATCCTGAAAAATCTAAAACAACTCCATCCTCCCTGCAAATGCCAAGATGACCAATGAAGGGTGCCAACCATGAGACAACAGGAAGTGGATTCCAAACCAAGCAACATGGAAACTTTGCCTTCTTTGGATCAATCTGATCTAAGGGCCACAGCTCATGCTGCATTCTTTGCATAGAATATGAATGCTCAACGTCATAACTTGCATTTAACTCCATAGTAAAAGTCTACCGCACAGCATACAGCTTTACTCAAATTTCTGTGGATATGCATCACTGTATCAAACTACTCCATATCCAACCCTGCTCACAATACAGTTCAAAAATCACATGAGATAGTTATTCCTTAATCAATTTGATAAAATTAAAAATGCCACACTTTATGGCAGATGTACCTAATTTACAATTGGGTGTATGCTTAACTAATGTCCACATGTCAAAGGGAAATAGTGGAGGGAATCACAAATTATGTTTAAGGACCTGAAGCACATAAATAAGACCACATCAGATATTCGCTAAGAGCACAAACACCAACCAAATCCATGCTTGCACAGTATAAATGTTAAGGTATCCAATGTCACCAAAGAAAATAAAGTCTTGAGTGAGAAAGTTTTGTAACGGGTATACATCTCACGTGCTGACACTGACACCCCCTCCCTCCTTTCTAAACAATCACAACAATCCGGAAAATTCACTAGGACAAAGATACCAGATGTCTAGAATCAACATCCAAAGCATATCATAATCATCACAATCCACCATCCCATAACAAAAGAAAAATGCCACCCATTGCTTACAAAAGTTTACCTCTTTAATGTTTTACTGATAATTCCAAAGGTGATGGGCAGTTTCAGGCATAGCCTTAATAATATTTTAAATGAAATGGGATTCATCAACCCATCACCTATCGGGAAATTGTTAGCCAATGTAAACTTAGACTATAATTTGTACTTACTTTCAGTACAAAAATACTAGTCGTTCAATGATGTGTTGCCACATAGTTTAACCAGTTTTATAACACAGGTTATCAAATGCATTAAAAGATATGACAATGCATTATTGATTCACTGTAAAAAAATTAAATTTTGCTCATACCAAAATGCACTAACAAATAATTAATTTGGTTTATTCAAAAAATTTAATATTACAATCTTTACTCGATTAGGGCACTGTTTCCCTTCCCACATTCGGTCTAGCAACTAAACTTATGTAAGGAGACAATTATTATAACAACCTAAGCAGGCAATGAGTAATCATAACATAAAAATGTGCTGTAAAATATTTCAAAGGGTGGAAAATAGTGCTTTTCTAACACCTATAATGGTCCTATATAGCATACATCAAACTATTAGCAACAACCAATGTCTAATGAGATGAAACATCTAAACCGATTCATCAATCCAAGAATCATTTTTGCTAAATTGCTAATTATACTCAATGCTGGAAATTGATTAGCTCCTAAAAACATTCTTGTATTGACATCACATAAGATTTACATTTAACATCAAAAGTATCCTCCTCTCAGTCCAATTTCAAACCAGAAAGCCAATTACAACACCAACAGAGAAAACCAAAGACAGAGATATGCAATCATTTACACACCACAAAAAGCTTTTCACCATTCAGTTACCTACTTAGCCACAGAAGCCTTTCACAATGATAACAAAAAACCAAACCCTTTAACTATGCAAGCAAAAGCAATTAAATTTACATCCAAAAATAAATACAAGAAAAGAAAACACAAAAGAAGAAAAAAAAAAAAAAGACCTTTAGTTAAAGGGATGGTATTCTAATGACCCATTGTTTATATGAAAACACAGGTCTCTTAAAGCATTGGAAATATCAAAAAACATGTACAACAATTCATAAGTTTGTAAAACATGTCGGAAAAACCAAAGATACATTTCTGCTTGAACAGAACAGAACCATCCACGATTCTTACCGGAAGAAAAAGATGAAAGGAACAAACATACCACATTAGAAAGGCCAAAGGCACTGAGAAGAAAATAAAATGAGGAAGAGAAATAGTTGTTGTTGATGTTGGGTAAGGGTCATTGCAGTGCTATGATTTATTCTGAGAACAAACCACTTGGGAAAAATAAAAAAATAAATATAAAAAAAAATCTCTGCTTCACAAAGTCCACAGCCTCTTCTCTTTTTAGAAATATAATTTAATATTGAAGATTATTTAATGATTTAATTATTATTGTTTTATTTGGGAAAATCTCTGGTTGTTTTGAAACAGAAGCAAGAGACGGGAAATGGGAAAGGTGCATGAACCCTTCTGATTTCCCATTTTTATCTTCCATGGTGGACCCTACCATGTCTGTGTAGTTGCATTTCTTTCTTCCTATGCAACTTGCAATAAATGAGACTCCAAGTTAATAACATACTTTATTAAAAAATTTCATTATATATATCATTATAAAAGTTAATCTATAAATACTAAAATTTAAATAATTATATAATGTGTAAAATGAAAAATTTTGATATAATACTTAATTTGTAACGTTCGTAAATTAACCTTTTGAATTAAATTATTTTTATATATTACAATCAGAACATAACGTGTTCTAAATATTATTGAAGTTATTATTTAAATAAAATTAATATTTTATTTTTTAATTAGTTTTGTCCTCTTAAATTAAAATAATAATAATTATTATTAAAAAGAAAGGTTAATTTTAATTAAAAATATAAATTTAATTTATTTATTTTTTATCTTTTAGTTTATATAATGTATGAGCTTGACACGGCACACTGCATGCAAAAACTGGTCACCGCTGGCTATCTCTTAACCGCATGGTTGTGATGGGCGGCGCATTTATCCAATCGGGCTTCTGTTCTTGCTTTATCTAACTTACAGATTCCCTTTAGTTTTAACTATAAGGCTTTTACTACTTTTTTCGGATGGAAAAAATATTAAAATACTAAACATCATATTTTGAGAAAATTATAGATATATAATAATTTTTTCAATTTTTTGTAATTAAAATTTTTTATTAATTTTTCAAAAATTGTCATTAATTTTTAAAATTATTATTTTTTAAAATTTGTTGTTAACACTTTTTAACTTTTAAATTTTTTAAAAAACTTATTATTGACAATTTTTTATACTTTATAATTTTTAATTGATCTATCTTGAATTTTAAATTTTATAATTTTTTAAAAAATAAATATTTTTGCATATATTATTTTAAAATAAATTTAATCTTAACATAACTTCTTAACTATCCATTTTTCATTTTCAATTTTTATCTGAATGAAAAATATTCCTATTTTTTACTTTTTATTTTACTGATTTTTTATACTATCATGGCTTTCAAAACTCATAAATAAAAATGCTGTATTTCAAAATTTTAAAGCAGATAGTTTAAATTTGTCAAAATAAGTATTTAAAAAAATTATTTATTTATGATTTGAGATTTAAAATTTAAGAGTATATGATCGATGGTAAGAATATAAAATTTTGAGTATAAAAAAATTAAAAAAAAAAAAAGGAAGAGGGTCACAGACAAAGTAAAAAAAATTTTAAAAATGATAAACAGTTATGCAAATTGCACAATAAACTTAACACAAAATGATAAAATATTTTAATAAAATTAGAATTTTTAATAAATAAAAACTTATTTAAAATATTTATAAAAATTAAAAGACTACAATGAACTAAAAAAATTAAAAAATTGAAATTAAATTTTACTAAAATTAAAAAATGAAAAGATTTATTTTATTTTTATATTATATATATATATATTCATAACATTATAAAACTAAATTAAAATAATAAAAAAAGAGTACAGTAGCATTTATAATTTTTGTAAGTTATTGCATAGGTGAAATAAATAATTCTAAATGTCTTATATATATCATTAAAAAAGTTAATCTATAAATACTATAATTTAAATAATTATATAATATGTAAAATGAAAATTTTTGAGGTAATACTTAATTTATAATGCTAGTAGATTAGTTAAATTCTTGTTATATATTACAATAAAAACATACAACGTTACAAATATTGTTAAAGTTATTATTTAAGTAAAATTAATATTTTATTTTGATAATTAGCTTTATTTTCTTAAATTAAAATAATAATAATAATTAAAAAGACATATTAATTTTAATTAAAAAATATAAATTTAAATAATTTATTTTAACCTTTTAATTTATATAATATACCAGCATGACATGGGCACGCGGCATGCAAAGTATCAGCACGCAAAATGGTGTCAGCACGCAAAATCTCTTGGTCGAAACGGGTGTGATGGGCCGCGCATCTATCCACTTGGCTCTTCTGTTCTTGCTTCCCAGTTTTAATGTCAAGATTCTTACTAATAACCTTTCTTCGTCTGGAAAAAATATTAAAAATTATATTTTTAAAAAATTATAGATATATGATAAATTTTTCAATTTTTTGGTAATTAAAATTTGTTATTAATTTTTCAAAATTTTTTATTTATTTTTAAAAATTATTGTTAAAACTTTTTAATTTAAAATGTTTTAATATTTTTTAAAACTTATTATTGACAATTTTTTATATTTTATAATTTTTAATTGATTTATTTTCAGAATTTTAAATTTTATATTTTATAATTTTATAAAATATATATATATATATATTATTTTTAAGATAAAATTAATTTTTCATTCATACATGTAACACGCGTATTGTTTATCAATTTTATAATTTTTTTTCTTCTCTTTCATCTTTATTATTAGATGGATAAAAAAATTTAAATATTAAATTTTAATTCGAAAAAATGTTCAAACTATCATTAAAATTTTATTTATTTTTATAAAAATATTAAAAAAAATCTTTAAGAGTCTTAAGTTTGAAAATTAGTTACGAAAATAAATTATTCAAATGAATAGTATTTCAAGATTAAATAGTTAATATGGATCGAGATATTAAAAATATGTTTATTTGTATTTTTAATAATTGGGTTTTTTCTTTTTAAAAATTAAAAAAACTTTTTAAAAAAAATTAAAATTACATGTATTTTTAATTTTAAAAAAACTCTTCTTAAAAATAAAAACAAATATATTTTTATTTTATTTTTATTTTTTATTTTTAGAAATAAGCCTCATGTGTAAATTATTGACAAAAATAAGATTTAAGATCTTGAAAAATCATTAATCTCAAATCATATTTTATTTTTAAAACAAAATAATTTTGTGAAAAAAAAAATTTACATTTTATTTTTTATTTGAAAACTAACAAAGACTTAATAACTTGAAAAAAATTATATTTTAGTTTGACAACAATTTTTATATTTTATTTTAGAAAATAATTTAATCACCTAAAAATATTTATTTATTTATTATTATTATTACATATTTTGTGTAATTTTTCTATGAATTTAAAATCTAAAACTAACTTTCACAAAAAAATTGAGAAAAAACTTTATTTTGAAAGGTGATTTAACATCCTAAACTTTTTTATATTTTATTTTGAAAGATTTAACAACCTAAAAAAAATTTTAAAAAAATTATTTTTATATTTTTATTAAAAAATCAATTTTTATATTTTACTTTAAGAAAAAATTATAATTAAAATGTTTAATTAAAAAAATGTTATTTTTATTTTATTTTTTTCAATGTTTAATTAAAAATTTGTTCTTTTTATTTTATTTTTTTCATATTTTTTTGGTGCAGTGTGGTGAGTTCAAGAAAAAATGCAAAGGAAAAAAGAAAAGCAACCAAATAAAGAAGAGTAAGAAGAACCGTGCAAACAAAAAAATCAGAATAGAAAAGGAATCAAAATTCCTATCTTTTTCTTAGAATATTTTTATCTCTTTTTCGTATTTTGTATGTGAAAAATTCTCTCTAACAAATTTTGTGAAAATTTTTCTCAAAAATTCTCTTTTATTAGTCACTATTTAAGATAGAATTAGTATATAGTAAAAGGAAAGTAAGTATATTTCTTACATCTTAATTATTTTGATTCTATTCTATATATTCTTAAATTAATTAAAATTAAAAAATAAAAACAAAAATTATTATTTGCAAAATATCTTTACTATTTTTATTGATTATATGTTTTTTAATTATTTTTTATTTTTTAAAATTTATTATTTATTATTTATTATTTATTATTTAATAAAATCTACCATCTAAACAAAAATGAGTGTTCACAATCTTTACTTTTTTATACTCAAAGCTTATTAACATCAAACATTCACCCCAAATTTTAAATTATAGTTAATCTAATATTTTAAATATTCATCTTCAATTTTTATATAAAAAAAAATTTATATTTCGTACTTTTTATTTTATTGATTTTTTATGCTATCATAGCTTTCAAAACCACGCTAACAAGAATTTTAAAAAACATTCTTTTTTTGTGTTCAAAATTGTCATAGATAAAAAATTGATATTTAAAAAGTTAATTTGTTTATGATATGTGATTTGGGAGTGTATGATTGGTATTGGTGGTAAGAAAATGAAGTTTTGAGACAAAAAAAAAATAAAAACAAAGATGAAATGAAGGAGGAGGAGAAAAAAAGGTTAGAAATAAATAACGAAAAAAATTAATTTTACCTATTTTTAAATATTATATATGGGACAAGATCTTTTTACACTGGTATAAGTCTAAAAATTCTTACACTCAATCTGAATCATTCTTTTAACTTAAATCTAACGGCTAGTGAATTAATAAATTATAACCCGTTAGATTTAAGTTAAAAGAAAAGCTCATATTAGATTTAAGAGTTTTTAGATTTATACAAATGTAAAAAAATTATGTCCCATATATATATATATATATATATATTTTATTTTATTTATAACATTATAAAAAATAAATTAAAATAATAAAACGAGAGTATATTAGGATTCATAATTTTTGTAAGTTTCATTCATTTTGCATACGTGAAATAAATAATCCTAAATGTCTTTAGCCTTTTACTAATTTTTTATTTATTAAATAGAAGAATGTCAAATATATTTTATATATTTAAGAGATTGTATTTTTATTTAATATTTTATTGCAAAATAATAATAATTAAACATTGTCAATGAATTTTGTTTGTTTTTGAACATTTTAAATTAAAAATTGCATGATAATTAAATAATTTGAAAAACTATATCTTCATAAGATTATATTATCTGTATTTATGAGTTAATAGATTAAATATTATATGAAAAAATGTCTGAAATATAAATTAGATAAGACATTTTGACTCAAATTCATGTTTTGTTATTCTTTTCGCTCTTACATCGGGTTTACCATCAAAATTTTAAATAAATAATAATAAAAGCTCCTAAAAAATCAAGTAAAATAAACTTTTTAAACCTGTAACATTAAAAAATAAAAAAAAAATAAGTACAAACTCATACAATAATAAAAATAAATAAATTTGAGATAGAAGTATAAACTTTGAAGCACAAAATCAAACTAAGAGAAAGTCTAGTGTGACTAGTTAACAATAAATCAAAGATTCTATAAGTAAAAAAATATCAAATTCAAATCGTTTAAGTAAATTGTTTATATTTATAATTCACATTTTTTTTAAATTTTGGATTGGCCTTATGTTTAAAATATTAATATATTCTTAATGATTTTTTTGGCATAAATTAAGTTCCATAATTTTGTAATTAAAAAAATTAATAAAATTAATGTAATTTGGTGGAGTCGGTGTGATTCACCTTAGTATGATTAGCCTCAGCTTTCAATAATTCGTGTAATACTAAACTCCAACACAATCTACCAAATGTTCAAATCTTATTATTATTTTATTTCCATGGATATATTAAAAATGGGCCCTCGTGTAAGAAAGAACTTGTATGAAGATTAAGAGCACTTTTTAAAGAATTTATGGATAATTAATAACTCTCATAAACTATAACTTATTAAGATAAACTATTTTTTTTATTTATTTTAATAAATTTTATAATTAACTTTTATGACATAAATCTTCATTTGAAAACAAATTATTACATAAATGTTTAATTTAGTTGAGTATTCAAATAAATATACGTTATTATTATTTAAATGGATATATTAAAAAAAGGCCTCGTGTAAGAAAAGAACATGTATTAAGACTAATACTTTAACTTGCCTCACCAATCATCATCAATACCTTATTAGAAAATAAGTATATTTGTTCACACGATTGATTGATCATAGAAGCCCTAAATTATTAACTACTTAACATAATTAAATCAACCATACAAGTAATTACTCTTTTAACCCGTAAATATAAACATGTACTTAGTATTAATTTTCTAATTTACGAAGATAGTATAAACTTTACTATCACAATGGACGTTAGTGACAGCCATTTGCTCATGTTCTAACTTTCTTGGGCATTTTTGGAGGGGCTGAATGGCTGCGTACACCCAGAAGAATGGAATGCTGCAAGAAACATGAATTTATCATGCTTTCTTTCATATTATAATGTATTTTTTCAATTTCAATTAAACACTTTTTCTCTTGGTGCATGTACTCATTTCAAGGAATACCTAACATGTGAGTAGGACTTCTTGTGAATTTCTCTCTCAAAAATTTGAAAGTTATTACAAGTTAAACTTAACAATGTCACATTGATTATTTTAAGTTATACATGTTTTCTTTTTTTTAAAATAAAATTTTTAATTTGAGCTTTATATATGAACAAACCACCATTAAAAGAATTAACTCCATCATTTTGTACATATTCTCAGCTCAAAAAAAGATATTTATTCTCACCATTTGGCACATGTATACACTTTCCTCTTCATTTGAAGAAAAATAATTCTAGCATGGAGTGAAAAGTAACATTATTTTCATGTCGTTCCTAAGTTTCTTCCACCACCTAACAATAAATAACGGTGTAAATCTTCTATATGAAGTAGTCAGTCTCATTGTCCAAAAGAAGAAAAAAAGAGGGATTACTCAACAAACTGAAAATGTACACATGTTCAATTTATTTTCAACTTTACAGTAAACTTATGGTGTGTAAAAGACAATATAAGATATGTACATGAAACATAGAATTTGATAATTTATGGAACACCCCTTCCTGCCAAATAACTACAGTGCATGGAGGGTCCATGATTGATAATTCTTTAGTGTAAGTCATCATATATTATTGAAGATCAGGTTCAGCAGTACCACAAAAGGCATCTGGTTCATATAATCTTGCAGAATCATCATTGTAAACTCCAGGTACAACTCGAATTCCAGGTTCTTTTAATGTTAGATTTTGGTCCCCTTCCATGTTAATGAGGATAAGAGCACATACAAGTAATGAAGTTGCCAAACTCACCAGAGTAATTTTCAATCTGCTCAATAAAGGCTTGACCTTAAACATAGCACAAGATTCTCAGTAAGTCAATGTATTATGCAGCAAACACAGTCCAGTTTGTAGTTGAAAATTTAGGCTGTGGTTGCTGTATCTTAATTGTACATTACTAAAAAGAGATAAATGAAAAAATTGTATTGTGAAAATAAAACCATATTTTAAGTAAAACAATGATTGCCAACAATGCACCAAACTGTAAATATGAAATTGCAATGGCCATTGGATAATTTCCATCCTTGGATTCTCAGATACATAAATTTCTGGAAGAGTAACACTAAAATAAATCACATGATTGCATATTCCAAACTGAAATGACTGCATACATCAACACATAAGGTGGTAGACCAACTGGCAAATGGGCTGACTCGATTGAGTCAACCTGTTTAAGCCCGTTAAACTATAGGGTTTAGAGTTTAAATTTTAGGTCTGAATTTACTTTGACCTTTTTTAGCCCAGCCCATATGACCCGTTTTGACAGCTCTACATAAACCCCATACTTGTGCACTACCTTACAACGAGTGAGTGCTTCATTTATATGATCTTAAAGTTTCACAGAAAATTAAGCCCCATCAAAAACGGTTTTTGCAGCTTAAGTCAAACAAGTTCTGAAACTTGATAAGGCCATTGCTATGTGACATGAATGTTCCACTAGCAACAATGAAGTTACAAGTAAAAGTGGCAGTATAATAGAATGCTTACAGAAAATGATCCGAGGAGTCTGTCACGCGCCAAAACTTCAGCTGTCTTCACCCATATCTGTTGACAAACACTTGGGCTTAATAGCAAAAAACTAAACTTAATTTAGACATTTGTTCATACTACCCAAAACAAAACAAAGAGAACTCATGCAGAGGCATTTGCACCTGACAAGGGCAGCAAATCCCATGCTCAAGGTCGTGAATACAATTTCAGCATAAACTTTTTGGGTCTGTTTGGAAGAATTTATGGATATAACTTATGATTCTCATAAGCTATTTTACTTTATTCCTGTAAGTTTTATGATTAAGTCTATTACATAAACCATTATTAAAAAAAAATTATTAAATAAGCATTTAATTAAGTTGTATATCTAAATGCATCGGTGGGGGTGGGGGTAGGGAGGTTGCTTTTGAAGGTATATGAAGGCGCAAAAGAAGGAAAACCACAAAAGATCTTATCAAACATAGTATTTAGCATGGATAATTTTACAGGACCAAATGACATGGCACGCACTATCAATGCCATCCATCAACAAAGTTTCGTTTTAGTTTAAAGTTAAAATATAATCGATTTTGATAAAATTTATTTTGAAGCACTGAATACGGCTGAAACTACATATTTTCATTGAAATGTGTTTTTCACTAGAAAGTGTGAGACTTAATTTTTTAACTACAAAATAAACAAGGCCTAATTAATTCATGTATTTTTTCAAGCAACATCATTTGCTCAAGCCATTTCATATCAACTGTAATATAGCACTCTGCTAAAGCTGTGGTGGACTGCACCATCACACACAAGTATCTTCTACATAAAATGATAGGGAGAGCCAAGAGTGATATATTTTATTATGTTCTTCTTCACTAGGACATTGAGAAAATAGAACCTCCAAGTAAAAAATAGAGTAATCCAGAACAAAAATAAGATAGAAAATCGCAGAGGAGACGTTGTATTGGAACCTTCAAGCAAGCAATATACATGACATAGGTAAACACAACAAATTACACAGCACCAAGATTTTACGAATGAGGTGAAACATTCATAACACATACCTGACCATCATACCACCCTGTCTCCTCATCTGCAAAATCAAGACAAGAGTAATCATGCATCTCATCCTCAATTTTTTAACACTCTTGATTGTTGAATCATCCATTAAAAAAAAACTCAAAGAAGAAAGAAAATAATGAGTAGCTCACTTCACAAATTGTTTAATATTAGCAACACTTTCTTTTAATATTGATCGAAATTTATTGGACCTGCTAAATTATGAGTGAGAATTATTGAATAGAAAGTAAGATCCCAATAATGTTTTGTTAAGAATGAAATGTGTGTTAAAAAATGTATTACTCTAATTTCCTACAACTCATTTTTCTGGTTTAGTTCTCTGCAATATCCTCTCCTCGTTTTACATATCGAGCATAGAATTGTATATTTCTGTGCTGCACTGAATTTGAACTAAATTCAGAAATTCATAAACTTAAGAACATATTTATTCTAAGTTCAGAATCTAATATCTTTGTTATACATCTCTTGATTCTTCAAAAAATGTTAACTCAATAAAGTATTTTAACAATTTAAGAACTAAGAAATTTATATAATAAAAAAATTCAGAAATAAGTATGCTAAAAGAAAGGAGTAATACACTAAATCACTATTGAAATTATAAGTTTCAACTAATTTAGTCCTTAATATTATTTTTGAATGAAGTAATTCTAAATTACTAGATTATATGTATTTGAACAGTACAAAAAATGTTTATAGAATACTCCAGAATCTTAACTAGATAATTTTTATATCAAACCAAAAAAATAATAAGATGTCTTCATAAAGAATTTAAGAACTCCTATATCATGCTTAACTTTTTGTAATTATCATTCATAATTTCTTTCATACTTCACTCTCACTGTCATATCTCATTTTCTATTTCATATTCTTCAATAATTGTACAATTCTTCATTCAAGCTCAACCTAAGAGTCTTATTTCACTTTAATCCTTCAACTAATAAAAATATCATTCCTAAAATTGATAAACAAAGGTTATTTTAATCCTTAACATAGTCAAACACTAAAATGACTAAGGTTTTATAATTTATTTATTTTTGCTAATTAAGGTTTTATAATTTTAATGATTCAAATAGGAAAATATTTTAATAATTTTAATGACTAAATTAATCCAATGCAATTCACTAATTTGAATATGTTTGTTTTAAAATTACAAAACTAATTCTTCTATTTAAAAAAATGCTTGTTCAAATTAATTTAGAGTTTTAGACACATTTCAATTATACATAAGGATTCAAGTTTGATGAGTCACAATTTCATATTTACTTTAACCCAAAGAGTTTGGTATTTGAACATGTTTTAAATTCAAATTCAAAATCAACGTGTCTAAAAGAAAGTAAAGTGAGTGAGGATGAAGAAAAGAAATGATACATTCAACAGTGGCACTGAGCAAGCGATTGCCAACATAAGCCCAACCTAAATACATTCTCACAACCGCAAGTGTCACAGCAAAAACCCCACTCGAAGCACCACACAAAACTCTCTTCAACGGTTCCGATTGGGCACCGGCAGAGCCAAACCACGCCACCGGAAGACCCACCAATAGTGCGAATGACGCGCCGGTGACGAACAACCGCGAACCGTATTCGACGGCGTCGCCGGCGGCCCAAGAAAAGGGGAAGGATGTGGAAAGTGAGTGGTATTCGTTTATGGGTTGCTGTTCCTGCGGAACAGGGCACTCTGTTTCGGGTCCGTTTTTGGAACTGAAAGAGAACGCCAACAACAAAGTGGTTCTTCTGTTGGGCAGTGATGAATTTGATGATGAAAGGAATCGTGTGGTTGAAGAAAGTTTGGGTTTTGATGGAACAGTGGAAGAGGGTGTTGGTGACATGCGTATGGGTATTGTTGCCATTGTTGCTCTGTCACTCACGCACTCTGCTTCACTCGTTCCGCGCTTCACCCACATCATAATAATATCCACAGAGGATTTCATTCATCTTTCTTAATAATAATAATATTGTAAACATTAATAAATAAATTATTTAATTAAAAATTATATTAATATTATTTTTATTTTTTAACTTTAAAAATTAGTATTTTAATATATTAGTTAGTATTTGGCTAATAGTTATAATGACCATGATGATATCGATTTTACTAATTTGTGAATTTTTTTTTATTTTTAGTTTTTGGCTGAATTATAAACGTGATAATTAAAAAAAAATCGACATTTTATTCTTTACTCTGTTGATTTTAGTATTATTGTCATTTTGAGGTTATGTATGAAATCGAAAAAATATTAATTGTTTGATACATAAATAGTTGCCAAATTATTTAACATAATACTCTCAATATATATTATAAATTCACCATGACTGATTATATTTTCATAATTTTACCCATGCGTTCATATTATAATTCTTTTAAATGAGTTGAATTATAATTTATTTATAATGAATATTTAGGATTAAAACATATAATATTTAAAAAAACTTAAGTAACTTTTTAAATTAATTATATTGTTTAATTATTATTTTTAATTATTAATATATGATATATGATTATATAATTTTAATTTATTTATCTCATTTTTATATGAAAATGGATTTTTTATTTGATACATATCCTATTATCTAATGTAAATTTATGTAAATATTTTCTTTATGCAAAAATTGACCATTGGAAGTACATTTCTTTAATTATTACAGTCAATAAGTGGACTCAACGACAAAGCATTTTTATGGAAACTTGACATGTAAGTTTCGCAAAAATCTCCCTTGCGTATGGAGAGAAAGAAAATAAGGAAAATAATAAAATTGAAAATTTATAGTATTTAATTGGTAAGAAAATAAATATTTTTTTCTTTTACTTTCCTTCTTGAAATCCAAATACGGAATTAATAAAAAAAAATTTAAAATATGCTCGAGAGTTAAATTTTGAAAAAAAAAGAAGGGAGAAGCAGAAAATTATATTTATATTAAAAAATTATATAATATTTATAAAAATAAATAAATTAACACATTAAATTTAGATTAATTTATGATTTTTAATAATATAAAATTAAAAATATATTTTAAAAAAAAATCCTCCCCCACCCCTAAAACCATCCCAAATAAGTTCTTTTCAATTTTTTCTAAAGTGCTTGGTAACTGAAGTTGAGAGGAACACTTAAAAATTTACAATATAAAGACTCCACATCACGTCTGGAATCTATTTATTTAATTTGTATGCCTCTTTCTTATCATGACAGTGCCATGTTTCTTAATGACATAAAAAAAACCCTATTTTGTATTCAATAAGGAATCCTATATATGCTTATGACATAACAGTAACGACTATTTTGAAACGAAGTTAAAACATTACTAAATATTATCACATAGGTTTTGGCCATTAGATATAGCAGTTCATGCCAAATATCCAATTAGCCTTCATGAGAGAATGATCATAACACGTAAGAATACTTGCTCAAGAAAAACTCAAGCTGAGTAATGGGAGATACATAAATGTTCTTTTCTTTTTGTACTTTCTTTCTGTTTTTGTTTCTGTTCTTTTTCTCTTTTTACACTTCCACAAGAACCTGAGAGATCGCATGTTTACAATTCCAAATAAGACCTCTACAGAGAAAGAATAGTTTTGTGCACCTTTTTTTTTTTTTTGTTTCTTGCTTTTCTTCCCTCTGGGAATTCTTCATTTGTACCTACTTCAACTAAACCTCCGCTGCACTTATGCAGATACTGGGGAGGGACCCTGCTCTTTTCTGAACGGGATGTGCCCAGTCCCCGACTTTGAATGAACCTGACACTTTCCAGTTCAGCAATCTCTTAATATGTCAAGATAGGGACCAAAATAGAAAAAAGGCTTTAGTTGCTCTGGTTCTTTGAACGAAGGAGCAACTTCAAGTATTATTACAATAGCTATGCTATATAGACAACTTCATTTAATGTGTTGAGCCCGTTTTTTGGACAACCAAATGTTGAAGACGGTAAAGACGAGACATCAGCTGTGAGAATGATGGCCTCAAGTGTGGCTCCCTGCATCAAAATAAACAAATTGAAACAACTCGTAGCATCAATGCAACTTCAAAATATGATTTTTAAAAAATTTTAATGGTAGGGAGGGGTTATTCTCTCATAGTCTTGTACTTTTAAGAACATCAATCCAAATATTTTCACTAGTAGGTTTTCCTTATAGTTATATATCTTATTTGTAAGGGTTTTAGTTCCTATATTTTCTATTCCTTAATGATCACTATTTTCATGAAGATATGACCCCTGTAGTTTCAACTTTTTCTGGATTTGGTTCCTAAAGGGACTATATCTGAAAAGAAAATACGGATCAGATACCAAATAGTTCAACTACAACGACCAAAATTTTATTTAAACCATCAACAAATAATTAAAATTTTGAAGTCGTGGTCTATACTGAAGCATATTAACCTATCATTAAATTATTATCCAAATCATAATTTTGAAAGAACAGGAACATTGCAAAACTTTGATAATCGTACACTGGTGGAAATTTGTCCTCAATTTTTCTGACATCAAATGAGTATCCAGAATATGGCTTCTTTCCAGTATCACTTTTCCAAGAATTGTGAATCTCTTGGAATGTCATGGGATGGCAAACATGTTTACTACACATTTCTGAACTTCTCTCAACGTTCATAGTGCCAGATGCTAAAGTAACAGCCAGAAAACGCAGGTAGAGAAATAGAACTTACGTTTGCCAGCAATCATGTATTATCTGTGCTACAACAGGATTGACATCTTCTGGAATTTCAAGCCGTTTATTTTGGAATCCAACAGCTCCAACAACCTGCATTGGGTTCAAACCCTTCCATGGAATCCTTGTGGTAGTCAACTCCCACAAGATCACACCAAAACTATACACATCACACCTGCATGCAAACTTTTAAGTATTACATTATGAACTCTTATACCTATTTTTCCATGAAGCAGACACAGCAGCCAAATTAACTTACTTCTCATTGGCTGGCTCATTTCTTAAGACTTCTGGAGCCATCCACTCAGGCTGTTGGCAAAAGATATGTTTAGTTTTTTTATCCATAAAAATTATATCCAAACAAACCAGCTGTGATGTTATTTTATCAGTGGTGAATGAATTAAGGTGTAATAACAGAATTGAATTTCCAAAAGTTTATATCAATGTTCTGAAAAATTACCGTTCCAGCACAAGACTTCGATGACAAAAATGTATGGTGTTTCATCCGTGACAGACCAAAATCACAGACCTGTGAAAGGACAAACAAAAGAGAATGGCACATGTGTCAAACATATCTCATGCAACTCTCACATTTCTGGGAGTATTACCTACTTCAAAATGCCTAAAGATTTTAATTGTTGGTTTTTGAGAGAGTGTGTAAATCCATTAACATCAAGTGTCAAACTTTGACACTTTCACTATTTAATAACTTTTCCCAAAATGCGAGATTAATCAATTTAATTGCTGGTTTAAAAATTCTTATAAAGTAGATTAACTTTATAAAATTTTATACAAAAACAAAAATAATAGGTACTTCATATATTCTCTATCAAAGGCAATCCTGTTTGAGAATTATGAGTGACAAAGCTTTTTCTCTGAGTATTTAATGCTTGCATTATTTAAATTTAACAGATAATATGTTTTTAAAATATAGGTAAATATCAAATGTTAAATAACATACCCATAAATATTTAAATTGTATGAAATTTGATATACATGATCATAAAAATAATATAAAATCTTGCATGTTATAAAAAATTATTAATTGGTGAAAGTATAATGAGAATTTTGTATGATTTACTCAATTTGTTTTTATCAATCATCAATTATTCATTTATATTTGATGAAATCATTTAACAATTACTATAATTGTTACTATTCTTTAATAAACTACTTTTCATATGTTGGTTGTGTATGTATGTATTAAATAAACAATTCAAAGAATGTAACAAATATAATACTAAAATTCCATCACTAATTTATTGGACCTATAATTATTCCATTGACATTTCTTCAGCTATCACCTTTATCAGGAGAATAAATTTGCAAACAATGGAAAAAAAAACATTCATTCCTCTTTTCTTTCCTTATGTAAACTCCCTAACAGCCAAGCATAATTGCAAATTTTCACAATTATTATATTTCTTTCTTCTAGCAATCAATTGATATTCCTTCTATTTTCAGCTTTGTGAAGTAAACTCCCGAGAGAAAGAATTCAAGTAAGAATACCTTAACAACCCAATGCTTGTCAACAAGAAGATTTGGAGACTTTAAATCTCGATGGACAATAGGAGGATGGCTCGTGTGCAAGTAGTTCATTCCCTTAGCCTAACAAGGGTACAGTAAATTTGCTTTATATAAAGGAAAGAGAGAAATAGTATATAAAGTTAAAAGGAGTATAATTTACATAGGCTCTTGGTGAGAATGGGGTGACCCTCAACTTTAGAGGTCTTCCTTATGGTTCAGTATATTGGGCTTGACAGGTTTAGAATTATATTTATGATCTGTATGGCCTTTATTTGGTGTTCAGTGCATGGCTAGTTGTATTTTTCCTCTATTCTTTCAAAGAAATTTCTTATTTCTACTATAAAACAGAAAGGTAGGTATGTTACCACATCAAGAGCCATGCGCAACCGTCTCTTCTCATCAAGTCGAAGATTGGGACGATGCAATAGCCTATATAAACTGCCTCTGTATGCCAATTGACAAATATACTTTAAAAAGGAAAACAATGATATAGAAAAACAAATTAATTTATTGATTTGGTGAGAGCCAAAGTAGCAAATTAGCTGTATGTTGGAAGTTGGAATACAACATTAACAAAACAAAATAAACTGAACAGAATCAATTAAAACACACTTTATATCAACAGTCATAAACAATGAAACTATTCAAGAAAATCACAAAAAGAAAAGTCCCATATCATTTGCATCCTTCATGCAGTCTCCCTACCAATATGTAACTTGATGCATAAAACAAAAACTAACCTTGGAAGAAACTCTGTCAAGATAGAGAAATGTGGGGAGCGAGTGATTGCTCCCATGAAGAGTACAACATTAGGATGCCTCAACCTTAACATGATCTCAACCTGCAAAAACAATAAAAGGGCATGAATCTTATATGTGCATATGAGTGCATAATACAAAAGCTTATAGAGACAATAGCTTACTTCAGACTTGAACTGAGTTAGTGCATCCCCAGAGAAATCTTGGTGTAGAAACTTTTTTACAGCAACTTCCTGTAATACCAACCCATTCATGTAAAATTACCAAAATCAGTGTATCAAACCAGAAAGATGAAGTCATCTACAAGGTAACCGAAATTTTCAGATTATGTAATTCCAAGAACTTATTAAATCGAATGAAAATAAAACAGTAGAAAGGAAACTGTTGATGTTAACATGTGAAGTGGACTTACAGTGCCATTGCAATCAGCACGGTAAACTTCACCATAAGAACCTACAAGGACAGTTGTGCACAAGGTTAGAGTCACAAGATTACACTATATATAGAGAGAGAGAGTATGATTCCAACTAGCTTGTAATAGATCTCCATTAATGAAATCTATTATATCAAATTGCAACATCTAAATTTCAATTCTTCATTAAGCAACAGAGAGTTTAAGCTATTATAAGTAGCAATTCTTGTATCAAGGGCCCTTTTGTTTAATTTTTAAAAAAGTATTCTATAATACAATTTGTTTAGACCTTTTCTAAGAAACTACAACTACATTCAGCTTTTGAGAGAAGCATTAAAACATTTTTTTTTTTGTCTTTTCCTTTTAGAAAAATCTTATTATTTTATATAACTTTATATCTAAAACGATCACATTTAAAGCCAGGCAATCCACTTACCAATACCAATACGCTCCCCAATACGAAGATCCTCCCATTGAATTTCCCACTCTGAGCCTTCACCAAGTACTGGGTTAACCTTATTTTTACCATCATATAGGACACAATCTCCATTGACCAGTGTCTCATTTATTTGAACAGCTGAACCTTTCCCCAATTCAACGTTATTAAAAGAAGCTCCAACATGGTTTCTAAGACCATTTTCATCATAATCACAAAAGCAATCATCCTCATTATGTCTTTTGCAAGAGAGATCTGTCCTGGGTAAGGCAGATTTGGGACCCTTTTCTTTACACATCCTATGCAAATTGATAGAAACTGAATCAACATTTAATGCATTACATTGCTCTAAGTCATTATCTCTGTCAGAAACAGTTACAAAGCTGTTCCTTGTCTTATCACCATGTAAAGAATTGTAAAATTCAACGGCATCTGTTCGCAACTCTTTTTGCTGATCAGCTAACCAGTCAGCAGATTGACATAATCTAGTATCGCTGGCAGAGCCCACCCCATATGAGGTTATGAGAGACTTTTCATAGCTTAATAACAATCTATTGGGATCAGCTTGAACATTATCAACAATAATTTTTTCATTTACTTTATCTACACCCCTATCTTGGGGATTTATATCTGAAAAAAGACCAGGAGGAAGTAAGGCACCACTCTCTACTAGAACATTGTGCAGCTTTTGGGCAAATTCTGGATTCCTTGCTGCACTGAGAACATACTTGGAGACATCTTTTACACGCATATTTTCTGCAGGTGATGGTTCTTCATGTAATGAGCATTCATATGCTTCTGTACGATTAAATCTCCCAGTTTCATTTACTTTAACATGATTTATTTCATCTGGTTTCATTTGACTGCCCATAGCTAACAATTCTTCTCTCTGGACCCTCCCCACTGTCGAAATTCCACCACAATCTGACAAGACTCCCGGCACAGCAGGTTTATCATCAAGCATCAAATGTGTGTTGTTGGGTAGTCCTACAATCTCTGCACAACTCCTAACAGCAAAACTGCAATTTTGGAGCTGGCTGCTGGGCACCTCAGCAGGAATAAGAGCGCCAGGAGCACCCATCATATCAATAATGTATTCACTGCATCAGTACAACAAATTAACAACTATAGTTACCATACTTGAAATTGTTTTAAAATAAAGTGAAAATAGTACTATTTTATTAAAAGGCCATGTGCCAAATATAAGGAGTATGCTCCAATGCACAATGTAATATATTTGTTAGCTTCATAAAGGTGGACCAGCTTCTCCATCGCATAGGAGAGGTTGAATTTTACAAAGCATAAAAAATTCAAAATCGAAAATGAAAAATAAAATTGCGTTTGAAAAGCCTGCCTCTTATGTCTGGAGCACCATGATGATGAAAGTGTAAATGAGTAATAAGTTTCTAACTCAATCAAACACATACCAAATGTTATTAATTACACAGAGGCTGATTACAAGTGTCCATTGAACTAAACACCCTTAAAAGCAATACTAATAAAAGAGAATTGACATTCTATCACAAGATAAATACCTTCCATCATCAGCTTTAATCAAATTCACAGCCCCATCATCAGTTCCTGTGTAATAGCTCCCTTTTACCAGCATGCAGGGAATATTAATCCTATCAGCCAGTACCTAAGCAACAGAAGAATGAAGTCAGCTTTAGTTGAAATCAAACAAATTGCATGAGCATGACCAACTTTGAAATTAATATATAAGTAAAATCTTTCTGTTAAAGAGACAGAAAGGAAGTTCATTTTAGTTTTGTGTATATTGCTTCTTTAATACAATGTGAATTTTTCTGTTAAGCATGTCATAAAGTATAAAAAAGATATAATCATACCATACACAATTCATTTTAGTGGTAACACGTCAAACAAAAGAAATAACATGGGTGATATCATTGCACAATTGAAAAAATGTTTTTCCACATACAATTGGATGATGATTAAAAATTGCAGAAAAGCAGCTATCTCAACTCTCTCTCAAGTGTTTGAATTTTAACCTTTATGCAACTAATATTAATAAATAAATAGACAAAACCATACCTTAAAAAGTAGGGCTCGGTGACGCGAAAGTCCAACATCAAGACAGCCAAGGGGAAGGACAATAGTTCCCAAAGAATCTCGTAACTCACAACTCCTCATAGCCCACCTTTTTGTAATTTTATCAGCATTACCAACTGGTCCACCCATTCTACTAACAACAACATCAGCAAGTTTCTGAAGCAAGCCACTCAAAATCAGTCCCAGTCCAGAAACACAACACTCATCTAGCAAACTACACGCTTTCCTCTCGAGCTGACTAAGCTCAACATCAACCACTCGGTTCACCAAAACCACTTCACAATCAACATCTCCCGACACAGGCTTAGTTTGCAGATCCACCAACAACGGCATCTTCCCCCGTTCAGCCAAATTGGATGTAATCCCATAAACATCATAAAACCCATCCATCACTTTCTCATCATAACCAATCACATTGTAGTTCTGCCACAGTAATAAAAACATAAACCGCTTACAAACCACATTTCCAAAAATAACAACAAGTAACACTATATTCTTTCTCACTTCTCAATAACGTCAAATGCCTGTCTATAAATAGCAACAAGCCAAACTTAATTGAACATCCAGAACAGATAAAAACAAAACCCTCAATTTTTTAAATCAAATTTCATTAATTATTATACACAGATACCTAATTCAAGTTAGGAGAAAGAAAAAAAACGAAAATGCCTGAAATAGAAAAATTACCAAAAATAATAGGAATTAAAATGAAAAAAGAATACCCAATAACGAAGCGATTGAAACTGAACAAGGGCTTGTTTGTCAGTGAGCGAAGCAGCGTAACCGAGGCTGATCTGTTTGGCGGCATCGATCTGTGCGGATTCGGCGGGGTCGTGGAGATCGGGATCGGAATCAGAAGCGCTAATTGCGAGAGCGAGTTGCATCTGAAACTCTTCCTCTTCCAATAGATTGAAATCAACGACGGTGTTGTTAGTGTCGTTTTGGGAAGGGTTGGGATCGGAAACCACGGTGGGAGAGGGAAGAGAGGAAGAAGATGGAGTGGTGTGAGAGTGAGGCAATGCGTTGTGATTGTGATTGATAGTGGCAGCGCCCCCTCCGATGTGAAGCTTTCTCAGAAGATGCTTCATTTTTGGCATCGATCATCAACAACAATTAATATCAATGGATCGATGAACCAATGAATGATGATTCAGATTCTTCTTCTATGCTATGCTTTTCTTTTGCTTTGCCCCTTCAACCGTTTCGTTCAGGGTTTCATTTCATTCCCTCCACTTTCTCTTCTCCTTTCTATTCTACCTTTTTCTTCTTCTTCTTCTTCTTCTTCTTCTTCTTCTTCTTCTTCTTCTTCTTTTATTTAATTATTTCTCCCCTTTTCAAATTAACTGTTGCTAAGATTTAAGTCTAATTAATTATCAACGCTTCAATTAACAAATACGTGATTGATTTAATTTAATCAATTGTTCAGAGAAAACAAAATATATGGATCTTATATAAATATACTTTTATTAAATTAAAATAAAATAATTTCCTAATTCACTTATTTAATGGTTAATAAAAATTAAGTTTTTATTTAAAAAATGTGATATTTATTACACTTTTATATTGTTAAAATACGATAATATTTTTATTATATTTAATTATTTTTAACTCTTTATCTTCAATTTACAAAGTTTAAGCTAATAATTTTTCAAATATACATAATTGGGACCTAAAAATAAAATAAATTATAGCCTTGCAATTTCCAAGAGATTTATTATTATTACAGTTGTAAGCTAGTACAATGGGCTGCGTTGAATCTGGACCCTTGGATTCATTGACTTGAAGCTATGGCATCCCATGGCTGTTAGAGCGCCAAAAGTCAAAGCTCATGTATCACCGCAGAAACCACAGCCACGAACGACGAGGGATCCGCTTCATAATCAATAATAGTCTTTATATATCTCTGGCGCTTTTCATACCATTAGATAATACATAATAAAAACATATAAACGCATTAAATTTTTATTATAAAATATAAAATATTATAAATATAATATATTATAATTTTTAATGAAAATTTATCATTTATTAATTTTTGTGTGTCGTCAAGTACATGTTAAAAAGTTGTTTATCAAAATTAGTAATATATAACCTTTATTTATTTTATTTTAAAAAAATATATTTATATTTTACAAATTTTTAGAATTAAAAATATAAAATAATAAATTATTATAAATATAATATACTAATCATATCATCATCAATATTATATAATTTTATTAATTTAAAAATAATATTTTATGTGCACAAATCTCTCTCAAGTAAATCTTAATGAATGTGTTCCAGAATATCCATCCCATCAATTTGACCAAGCACGTGTTTGGTCATAAAGTGTGACATAAAACTCGTTAACAATAATAAATGTAACGTATGGGTATCTAGTGCAAATACATATATATATATATATATATATATATATATATATATTATTAAAATAAATTTATTATTAATTTTTTTGAATAGTCAAAATTCAAAAACATATAAACAATCATAGGATTCTTAAATATTTATTTATAATTATAGTATATAAATTTATAGGTCTTATTTAGTGCATTGATGGACGATAGAAATGAAAATCATACTAATATATGTCAGATCAATTGTAACTCATACTTTTTCTTTTTAAACTTTCTCCTTAAACAACAAAATCCGATTCATATGAAGCAATAATGAGTCACCCATTTCACCAACACCTATTCAAAATAAAATTATTTTTTTATCAGTTTAATTTCTCTGTTATAAATCAATACAACATCTGACACATTAAATAATTCATGACTCAAAAGTAAATAAATAATCATGTATTTTTTATCACAAAAAAACTAAATATGTTGCACTAAATTGTTTATTATACTAAAATATCATAAAATTTTACTATAATGAGCCAAACTCCAATTATTAGTCAATCAAAGTCGAAATAATCAACATCGGTTAAGCAAATTAAATAAACAAATACTTATTAGGTTACATTTTATATTGAAATAATTTAACAAACTCCTTTCCATACAATTATTTTATTTTAAAATGTTATCATTTTAAAATATATTAATAATCATTTGATTTTATTTACATAATTTGTATAAACAAGATCTACATAATTTAATTAAACATTTACTTTTGCTGTTATAAAAGAAAACAAAAAAAATCTTTATATGATAAATTGATTAAAAAAAGACTCATAAAATAAAATAAAAAACACATTTTAAAAAGTTAAAGAATAAGACTATGTTTGATTTCTTTTTTTTAAAAAATCTATTGTTAAAAATAAAATATAACAATTTATTTTTAAAAATAAAATATAACAATTTATTTTTAAAAATAAAATATAACAATTTATTTTTAAAAATAAAAATTTATTTTTAAAAAAGAAATCAAACATACTATAAACATTGAATGCTAATTTTGTCTAAAAATATAAAAAATTCTTATTAAATAGATTAAATTTTATAAAATTTTACACAAAAATAAAATTAATAACTATTTCATTATATTATTTTAATTTAATGGATAGCATATTTTAAAATATAAAAAAAATTAGATATATACCAAGTTATATATATATATATATATATATATATATATATATATATATATATATAATAAACTCTCCGCAATGCTTTGCTTGGATAGCAGCGAAAGTATTACCTTGGCAGTGGAAGGGAGCATGAATACTTGAAAGCCACTAAATTTGAACATGATTCCTTGTCTTCACGGCAAAGGTATCTTTAGTAATTAATTATGATGCAGAATTTATGGGTTTTGATCATGCCAGAAATGTGCCATCTTTACTCCAATTTTCTTATTTCTTGTATATATATATATATGGCTTAAGAATGAGTATACACTTTTTCATCTCTAAGTATCAGGAACAGTTGTTAAAGCGTTTTACATTTTAACATAAGAAATTATTTTGAAAAATTAAAAGATACCTATGATTATTAAAATAACTATAAAGGATCTGAAAATTGTGATTGCATTGATAGGTATAAGATGTGTTTTGTTAATATTTTTTCATGACGAATATTTTTAGGGTACTTACTAGCATTCTTGGTCAAATAATCGATGATATGAAAATACAGGCCTCAAAATGCTAGAGGACACTGCTAAATGTATTTTCTCAGTTGTACTGAGTTACACATAATTTGATATTGATGTCGCCCTGTTATTATTTTACTTCAATTGATCGCTTCAGAAAGACCAAGTTGTACATAAAACAAAATCTTGCCAATTGAGAACTACCAAAATGTAATGCAATCACAGACCAAACGCAAAACCAATCTAGATTGCATCTATGAACAAGTTAGGATTATGGCTTACTGAGATGGTAAGCTGAAACCCATTAACATTCTCTTATGTTTTGTTAAGAAGAGAAGCTAGATTGCGAAGTTCCTCAAATGCGTGCATTGTTTCTGCGTCAAATCCTCCTGCAAACTGCATTAAGAAATAAAAGATTACTCTCTTAAAATTGTTAGAATAGTTGGAAAATATTTGCAAATTGTAATAAATATTAGTTAACCAACATGAATTTCACTCGACATTGGAGGCACAACTAAAAAAGCAGGGACTAAGATGCTGAAGTATGCTATAATTTACAGGACAAACCTGATGGATTCTAAAAGCAAATCTCACTCCTTGGAGAAGCATGTAATCCATTGCAGGATCTTTTTCTAAGGCTGACTTTGCTTGAAGTTCCATAGCTACCCTTTTCATATACCTTTTGGCCAGTTTTACTGAGCTTAACTTTATCTGCAAAAAACAGTCATTGAAATCAAATGTTATGTGGAGTCGTGGAGATATATAAACTGCTTTAAAGAACCAGTTTAAAAATAAACATTATCTCGCTAGATGGATTTTTGTTAACAGACTTATTTGCCACTCTAATCCTTAATTTATTGGCCACCACGTCATTACCTAACATCCTAATTTTCCTGTCAATTTGTAGAAAATTGAACACAATCCAATAGAAATAGATACTACTAATAAGTTGAATTTTTGGCAAGAGATTAATTCTGAGAAAGAATTGCTTTTTCTCAAAAGCTCTTTCAGAAAGCTGATAAAAATAAGCAGTTATTTCTTTAAAATGAGTTGAACGCACCAGGTTTTCTATTTTGTATAAGCAATGGCTCTACTTGGAAATGTTAGGTACAGCCCCCTAAAGTAACAACTTTAGGATTCAAACAAGTTCTAATATACATTATATGTTATGCTCTCAAAATATTGTAATGGTACTACTATAATCTCCTCTTATACATTTATCATTTACATTTGCTAAAAATTGATGCACAGTATGGTGTACCTTGCCAATGATTCCATTATCAAGCATCCATTCTATGGGAATTTGAAACTCCTTGCAGTTACGCATTAATGACTCTCTTGTGCGGAGAAGGTTATAAACTGTACGCTCCATCCTGACAAACACAAACACAAGTGTTATGTAAGACATACTAAATTTCAGACCTCAGACTTTTTTTTTTTTTTTCTCTTCTTTCTGGGGTGCAAATATTTGAGGAGCTTACTTTTCGGATAATGCAACCATTTTCTTTAGAGCAATATCACAAGGTAACCGAGGATCGTCCTTGTAGGAGGAAACTTCAGTTTCTAATTTTTTCAAATCTTGATATCCAAATGCTGCCTCTCTTAATGTGTCAGCTTTCTTCTCTGGCCAATCGAAATGCTTAAGGACAGCCCTCTCGTCCACCTTTAAATGTACACAATCATAATTCTATTAGATAACAAACACATGCATAATATTCAAAAATTGCCATAGGAATTACAGAAATGCATCTCCTATAGATCCTAAAAACAATAACAACCACGTTTTAATTCCATGATGCATAATTTAGACCTGTTTACTCTAGCTGTAAGTATCAAAGTTTATACCTTAATTTGTACATGGCATAATTTCAAGCTACACAGGTCTTAAGAAAAAAGCAACTTACAAGGAAGCAGAGTTCATCATCCAGCCACTTCACAAATGCCACTACATCTTCTATGTTCTGATAAACTGCGTTGTTCACCTCTCTAATCAATGAATTCACAAATTCTCCCTGAGTCTCAATATCTGCCTTTATCTACATATCAAGGAATAGTTTGTTAAATTATATAGGTGTAACGCATACTGTTCATCAAAATATGATACAAATAATATACTTTCCATGAAAAGCTGAAATTCAATGACTTGGAAACTACTCACAGCAAGCAAATGTGAGGAACGGTTTTCAATTTCTCCAATCATGCTGCTACGAACATCAGCAACATCTGGTGCATCAGAGAGTCCTCCATTTGAAGAATCCTTTCTAGAGTCTCTCTTCATAAGTGAATGGTACAATTCCACGACTTGTGGAGCGCGTTTTACCATTGCTGTGGTACTTCTTGATGCAAAATTCATAGGAGGTGGTGGGGGAGGTGGAGGTGGAGGAGGTGGAACTTGAGCTGAACTTTCCTGTTTTGTTTTGCTAGAAATAGAACATGAAGGTCTTGGAGGGGGGTTAGGAATTCGTAGTGCCCTCTTCTCAACATCTGAAGAAGCCAAAATTTTGGTAGCTTCTTGGCAGTATTGTGGTCTTTGCACAATCTCCAAACCAGATTGTTGAACAGAGTCAACAGACAATGGCACTGATTCCTTTTCCATTTCTTTTGAACAAACAAAACAATCAGATTGTCTTCTCTTACTCAAAACAACCTCTTCCTCTGAGTAGTTTGATCCACTGATTGAGTGTCTTCTTCTGGGGCTTCCACCTATATCTGATTCAATCCAATTTTTCTCAATGAGACTACCTGGGCACTCTACTTGTGATAAAGGGTCACTAGTTATGGGCCACTTTTTAGGCTTCTTCACCAAATTGAACCTATTTGCACTACCACAGTTTAAGTACCTATAGCTTTGATCAGAGAAAGAACTAACAACACAGTCTCCACTATTGCTCACAATAGAGTGAGGGCTAGATAGCTTATCAGAATCCAATGCTGAGCATGTATTCTTCAACTCGTTTCTCAAACATGAATTCACCCACCTCAAGTAGGCAAGCTCCTCAACCTCATTCAATCTGCTCATCTGTAAACCTTCTACTTGCTTGCACAAGTCTTCATTTGTGAGCCTCAGCAATGATGCTTCAGCTTTGATTTTGGCAACAATGTCACTCTGATCAGAAAAATTGAAGGCAAATCAGCCAATCTCAAGTACAGCTCACCTTATAATTTTAAGAATATTAACAACTAGCAAAACATACACTACAATAAAACATTGAGCAAAAGAAATTTGGAATTTAAAATGTAATAAAATAAATTCTCCATTTTGATAATGAATTAAAGAGCATTAAGTAATGAAGCATTGATTAAACAATTAAACTTCATCTTAACTAAAACAAAGTGTCACTGTCACAACTTACAAGTCCTCACTTCTTCTAAGTTGTGCATTCACATGTTCACATCACAACGACCAAATGAAACAGAAAAAATTACCTCTGAAGATTTGGCAGGACAAGACAACTGAGACTCAAGAGAAGAGAGCCTGCAAGTAAGGTTCCTCTTCTGCATCTGCAGCTCCTTATTCAGCCTTCTCAATTCAACAACTTCAAGCTCAAGATTCTGCACTGAACTATCTTTGTGTTCCACTTTCACATCCTCCTCATGTCTCTCAGTGACACATGTCAAAGCAGCCAATTGGTCAGAGAGGCTAGCCTTCTCTTCTTCCAACAAAGAAACCCTCTTCACAAGCTCATCAACCTCACATTGCTTCCTCCTACACTCTCCCAACTCAGCATGCAACTTGGCCTCTCTCTCCTTAGACTCCTGCAACAAGCTCCTCATGTGATCCAACTCAGTGAACAAATCAGTGGATGATTGTCTCCTATGTGTTGGGAACGCATGTGGATGAACCTGAGCAGCATTCATGGAACATGACAAGTCACCTATGAGGGACCTCTTTACTCGGGAATGAGCAGGCACAAAAGGGTTCTTCTGGTTTGCAACAACATCCGAGGCGGTGGTGGTTGTTGTTGATGATGTTGTTAGTGTGTGTTTTTTGGTAGCAAGTGTTGAATGAAGCTTGGTTTTCTTGTCAGCAGAGAACCCTTTGACAATGTGAGCACCCCACAACCTGGGTTTGGAGTGGTTGTTATTGTTGGGATTGCCTCCTTTGGCATTTTGAAGCTTTGGGGCTTGGTTTTGGTCGGCAAATTTTGAAGTTTTGGACCTGTTCTCTGATGGGTTGTCTTCCCTCATTGTGTGGAGAAGTTCACGAAGTGGCAAGTGCACACAAAAGAGAGAGAGAGAGAGAATGAATAGCTGAGTTTATGAAGAATGAGACTTTAATTTTGTATTGAAGGTAAGGTAAAGCAAATGAAAGAAATTGCAATAGCATAGGTAGACATAATAGCGAGAACCAGTTGTTTTGTTTAGAATAAGAATAGCAATGCAATGGGGTATTGTTTTTGTTTGATGATGTATAAGGAAAGTGGAAGCTTTGCTTCACAAGTTTGAAAGTTTGAATTTTGAAATGATGGAGAGAGAGAGAGAGTTGTAACACATTCAAGTGTGTGAGAACTACGAGGACGGAGCCTGGGAACAGGGAAATGCAACGGTCTTGTTTTGGCATTTGGGGCCCACTTTTTCAGCCTACGCTTGCCACACAGTACGTGCAATAAAAGTTGAATTTCTTTTTAAAAAAGTTAACACATCTAATTATAAATAATTTATTGTTTAAGAAAAGTTTAACAGATGATTATTGAAGAAATATTTTTAGAGAAATTCATATAAAATATTTAGTTTTAAAAGGTCTTCATGCTCCTAGCCTTGATTGCAATCTCCTGTTTCATTTTCAAAAAAATTTACTTTAAATAAAAATTGACATTAAAGATATTTTATAAACATAAACTTGAGATGCCTTTTAAAAACAAAATTGTGAAACGTACTAGAGAAAATATGAATAATACTTTAAATATAATAATCTAACAATAACATATATAAATAAAAAAAAATTGAATATCAAATTTTACATGGTTAAATAGAAGTCAATTAGTGTTCTAAGAGAAATGTTAGCATCAAATTTTTTAATACATTTTTTTAATATATTATTAATTTTGACTAAAATTTATTAAAAATATAAAAATTATGTAAATTTTATTTTGAATTTAATATTTCAATTTTATACTTTTATAATTTTTAATAATTTTTAACTAATAATTAAAAATGTGTTAAAAAGTTTGTTAGTAGCATTTTTTATTTTTTTTTAAATTGAATAAGTAAGTTGTAACGCCTTATAAATTTAATTTTAAAATAATAAATTTCACAAAATAAAAATAATAAAATTTGTATTTTAAATAGACTTTTCCAATGCATAGTTTCAATAAAATATTTCAAAATAATAAGGGTTTACAAAAAAATTTGATCAAGTAACTGCTACAGGATTAATCCAAATATATCATATGTTCAAAGTAAAATTTAAACCATATAACAGTATCATGCATTCCTTTACTGAGCCCAGTGTTAATCGTCTTGGTCACCTGAAAAACAAATGTAAGAGTGAGTATTCTACACTATTCAACACACGCAAACATAGAGACTCACCCCATACACTCCACATAATTTCTAACATATTCTACACAAGTATAATCAATTACAAACAACACTTTCCACGCATTCTATTTCAGTTCACAACCGATGCACTCACTGTACCAACAATATTTTACATATACGTGTGCTTATTGCACGTAGTTACACTCACTGTGGCATTGTGATCACAGTTTTACACTATAGATAGTTGTTGGTTACTCCGCCTCACAGATACAACGTGTGCGATCACGAATCGCTCGGCAAAGGTGTTGGTCAAAGGTCTAGTCAGGAGAAGAGTGTGCAGCCTATGGTGTACCCACGCTCGCTGTTGGTGTCACCACTACACTTTCTTCCCCAAGGTATTTCTTCCCCAAGGTATTTCTACCGTCCCCATCTTCCACATTTCCAGTGTATTGCTGAATCATTCATAGCATATTCACAACCGCATTTAACATCACCTTTCATATACATTTCAGCCACATATAATATTCATATTCGCACACGGCACAAAAGCCCACATTCATTCACAGCACACGGCGCATATGCCCATATTCCACTACACAAGGTCCAATCATACAATTTTTATCATAATATCCCTACAACCATTCATTTCATCATACCCAATATTTCTTAATATCGATAGTACTAAGTTCCACACGATCTTTCCACCACAATTTCACTACAATCAATCAATTCTACCAAACACACACATTCCAAACCATCCACATGACAATGTATAGCAAATTACATGGCATTCAACACAATGAGATAGGGTAGAGTTTTCCCTTACCTCAGATTGAAGCCCACACACGAAATCAACAAAGAAGGTGCTCCTCACACGAATTTTGTCATAAATACATGGAAAAATCTCACGAGGACTAAGGGAAATCGAGAAAACAGAGAATGAGAAGGAAATACCGAAACCCTAACCATTAAAACTTACCTCCAAACGCTTCAAATGTGATTTCAACCTTCAATCTAACTTCCAAACGGTCTTGAAGACAATTTAATTGGTAAGAATGAGTTTTGAGTTGAGATAATCAAAAGGGAAATGAAGAGAGAAGAGTGAGAATGTGTTTCCCGAATCTCAGATTCTTCAAATACTCCTCTGGTCGCGTTACTCTCAGTACAACAAGGACCTCGCTGTAGCGACACTCTCTCTCGCTACAGCGAAAATCTCAGAGGAAACTGCACTATGTTTTTTTTGCAGAATCTCGCTACAATGATACTGCATCTAGAAATGCACCATCCACTGTCGCTCTCTCGCTGAAACGAGGAAATTCTCGCTACAGCGAGAACGCAACAGTTTCATGCTTTTCGCCCAGGACTTTCTCGCTATAGCGAGAACATCCTGCAACACACACTTAGCCTAATTTTCAATTTAGTCTAGTCATATTCAACAATTTCAGTTCAACCATAAACTAACACATATGCTTATACTCGTATTTACACACTCATGCAAGTCCACATCATCACACCATATATATATATATATATATATATATATATATATATATATATATATCAAACACATAAAAATCAACATATACATTTATATTAATATATCAAAATATTATTACAAAAATCTAAGGCATTACATAAGTGAGCTAACAAAGACACTAGTTCATTATTTGTTTAATTAAGATTTAACCAAAGTTGTAATAATAGTAATAATAATAATTTTAGCATTATATACTACTAAACAATAAACTCATAAAATTATAAAAAATTCAAGAAAAATTCTCAATTAGTACTTTATAACATGTATAAGAAACGAGTTGAAAAATACATGTTCACCATTCGATTCTTCTTAGCCATGCCCTCACTATTGTGAGAAATAGTGGAGTGTGTTGGTTATCTATACACTAAACTCTCTTTTTTCTACTCAAAATTACCTCCCAAACATGACATAGTCTTAAGATTGCAAACATGACTCTCCTACAACTATGTTCTTACCATAGCATACGATGATAAGTATTAGCAACTAGCACCAATAATGGTGTTTTGAAAAATAAACTAGCATGAGGCTAAATATCGTGTTTGTTCTGGTGACTGATTACCCTTTTCATAGTTTTTAATTGAAGATAGCTTGAATGCTTCTAAAGCAGAATGAATCTCACCATTGAAATTCCTAGCATAGTTGATATTCCATATATCTTCTATTAACGTTATTTGAATATTTTTTTATTTATCTCAAATTATTTATTCTTTTTCTAACCATACCTTTATTTATTAAGGAATTTTTTTTCAACAAATTACTAAGATAACTCTAGTATTAATAATTACCTAACTCTTACAATAACTTTAAAATTTTTAATTAGATTATTTTAATAAGATTATGACTTAAATATGTTTTTAATTCTCACATTTTGGTTTGAACATTTTTTTTGTTTAGTTTTAGATAATTTTTTTTAAAATTTTATTTTTAGTTCTTAACACCGATATAATCAGATAAAAAATTAACACTTGGCAATATCTCTAGATCTACATTAGAGAAATTATAACATAAATTTATAAAAAAGTAGGACTAAAAAAAAATAGTTTATCTAAAGGGACTAAAATATGAAAATTAAAAACATATTTAAGCCTAAATTATTTAATTTATCATAGTAATTCATAAAATTCATTGTTTTATTAAGATGTGTACATTAATATATTAACAAAAGTTCAGCAGTTAATAATTAAATGTACATTTCACAAAAATGTGAGTTTAAATTTTATTATAAATGTAAAAAATTTCATCAATAAAACTTTGTATGTGTTATTTGACTCTTTTAATTATATATCTCAAATATTTAATTATTTGAGTAAAAAAATAGGTATTTTACGGTTTATATAGAAAAGAAAGCAAAAAAAAAAAATTGATTATAATAATTGAATTTAAATCTGAGGTTATTAAAAAAATCATATAATAGTTAAAATAAAATAAACAAAAATTAATCAAGCTTAATGATAATTACTTTCAAGGTTAGAGATAGATATGCATAGACATATTCACTTAAATTTATAGTTAAATAGCTTATATTATTAAGAGAAAAAAAAAAGAGGAAGAGGGGTCGATGTGGGTTAATTTCATAGTATCTTATCCAAATACATTTCCATTCTCAAATATCGTCACCATGTTATTTATAAGCATATTTCATATTACTAATCGTAAGACCATGTAGAGCTAATGCCTATCGGTGCCAAAATGTCAAGGAAGTTGATGAATTTGATAACAGGAAAGCCAACAAAGTTCCGGTGAACGGCGACATTAACTATAATGGTCTTAAAGTAACTGCACCAAAGGCGTAACAATCGGCATTCCCAATTTTTAAAACGGTACTCCGGGGAACAGACATCCACTCTATATTTGTTAAATTGGTTTGTGTAATTCTAGCCACACCTGAAACTTCGGCCAGAATAAATTCATAAGCAAACATGTAAACACCATCTAATCATAAATACCAAGTTTTTTATTGGTTTTTTTATGTACTTAGGTGAAACTCTGCAGCAGTGGCAGCAAATAGCTCCAGATCTAGACACCTGCTGGATTTCAAATGACACTGACAGTTATTTTTTTTCAAAAATCAAAAGTGGGTTACCTTAAAATGTAAAAACTCCAAGAGTTCATGATCCGGGGTGATATCACTAAACAGAGTTCCCTGATGGATTTAGTATCATTAATAGCTGATGATTGGAGTCAATAGAAATACTGTGCTGTCTATGCAGTTAAAACTTGTAAGAGTAACATGGCAATATGACAAAAAGAAAAAATGAGGGAAAGAAACCAAGAACCCATTTCTATGATGTTACATGATAGTTCAAAAACTGATGCCACGATGTAATCACTCGTACAAGAGCAAATTCCTCATCAATTTTTAAAATGACAAAACAACTATCAAGTGAATTTATAGAACACCTAAATTTAAAGATCACTCGTGTTTCCTCTTCACTTTCTTCTTACTCAGGTCCCTAGATCTTTCTTCCGGTGTCCTTTCCACATCTTCACTCTTCCTCTTCTTCCTTTGCTCCGTCTTGACCTCTTCAGAATATGATTTTTTCTCGCTCCCTTCCTCATCATTCTTTCTCTTTTTAACTTGAAAATCCAGAGAACCAACTAGCCCTCCATTTTCACCCTCCACATTGTTGCAAAGCTTCTTTTCCATCTCTTTCAATTGTTGTCCCTTTGTATTCTCACACTCTGGATTTTCAACCCCACCCTTATTGCTGGAAAAATTACTAGCACCTTCCTTGTGCTTCTTTTTCTCCTTTCTTTGTTTCTTTCCCTCTTCCATTCCATGGTTGCCATCACCTACATTGCCCTGTTCTTGGCCTGACTCAATTTCATTGTATGTCCCATTAGGTAGTTTTCCATCACCTTCCCTCTCTCCAAATTTAACTCCATTACCTCCATCATGCCTGGACTCGACTTCCTGCTGCTTCTTTTTATTCTTCTTATGCTTCTCACTCCCACCCACAGTCTGTGCTGATTTCTCACCATCCTCATCAGCATTCTCATCACCAATCTGTTGCCTTCTAAACTTATCAGATTTTACATTCCCATGACTGAGTTCCTGGTTAGCCTCAACACTCCGAGAATAATTTTCTACCTCTCTCCCACTCTCATCACCAGTCTCCACTGTGCGGCTTTTGTGCTTCTTCTGAGAGTGTGATGACTTAAGCTCCTTGTGGAGCTGATCCAGCTCATTGAAAGACACAGATGCACGGTGAAGATATGCACCGATGACATGGGAAGCACCATTGTCAGCAGACACAAACTTTGATAGAATTTTTGCCGCTTTTGAAAGCGATATTTCTTTCAAAGAAACACAATGTCCAGAAATTGTCTTCATTTTCTTCCCCTTAGGCTTTCACACATATAGCTAGAATAAATAAACATTTAAAGAGAGAGAGAGAAAGGGTTAGTAGGGTTCAGTCCATTGCCTCCAAAAAAACTCCCAAAGAGTTTATTCACTTTTATTTTCCTATCGCACTCCATCGTTACAGTAGCAGCAATCAAACACAACTTTGTAATTCACAAAAAGCATTTGGCTAAAGATTAAAGCTAAATACTGAAACACTTTAAACTAAAAATATCAACTGAATCAAAATTGACAAGACTATATAGTACAACACCATTCGAGAGACTTTCTTTAACAAATTCAAAATTCAAACCCTAAAGTAACAGCTAAGATTATTCATACATTGACAGACGGTAGAGTGTAAGTGTTGGGACTCACCGATTGGTCACAAGTAACAAACTTTGGGCTGAGTTGGTGATGGGTCGGCCTACAAAGTGGGGTGTGTGGGAGAGAACAGAGAGGGTTTGACGCTAGGGTTTGCTAATTGACTTTCCAGAGTGACTATTTGAGGGAATGCTAATAAATCAATTTTGACATATCTATATACGTTGTGTGTGTGTTTGGATGGCATTTCAATTGTTAACAATTGAATCCCCTGAATTTGTAAATTATACGTTTGAATTGGGAAATTATGAAATACCAGGAAAAGGTAGAAATTCCAATCATGCAGAGTCTGAAACAAATACAAATTCCAAAAGCATCCAAAGATGCAAGCATAAATTATTCATCCATGGATGTTCGGTGCTGTTAAGGTCCAAATATATATACTAAAACCGTTTCAAAACTAAACCAAAAAGAGAACCAATCGTACACTGAATGCATACATAAACAAGGAAATCAATCATAACTCTTCACACTACTAAAGGGTATAGGTTAGAGGTTAGGGTTTCGCAGTTTGGAGATAATTTTGATTTAAAAAAAAAAGCTTAACTGAAATCAAAGAGAAAGGTGTAAACGTAATCTCACCAATTGATGATGAACGAAACGGCGATGTAGAAGTGGGTGGTAATCTGAAAACCTATAAGCTGTGGGGAAGAAGGAGGCGCCAACCCTGAAGAGAGAAGGCGTAGAACCCTGCAACTCTGAAGATACTGTAGCCATTTTACTTTTATTTATATTATTATATTATTATTAGCAAGCAATCTGATGAGTTATTTTTTTAAAAAAATATTATCTCATCTTTTAATAATTATATATTAAAAATTTATTAATGATTTTAAATTATAATTAAAAATGAAGAATGAATTATATAAATTTAGTTTAATAAATAAAAATAAATGTATAAATAAAAAATTAAAAGATATTTTATTTAAATTTTATAATGTATATTGTAAAAATTTCTTATATTTAATAAATTATTGTTATAATTATTTTTTAAAATTCTATAATAACAAATAATTTTATGAGATTCTTAAATTTGAAAAGAATGAAAAAAATATAAAATTTATAAAAAATATTGTATAAAAAAAGTATTTTATAATTTTTTTAATATAATCATATTTATATAATAAAATTTTATTATCATATATATACATATATTATATTTAAATCATATATTTTTTATTTTAAATAATCAATTTAATAAAAAATAAAATAAACTCGTGCAATCCACAAACATATTTATTAATATATTATTAAAATAGTATGTTTCAACATAAAATATGTTTCACTTATTTATAATATGGCTCTAATTAAGTTTTGTTGACTGATCAATTTTTATTTTACAAATCATACAAGAGGGGTAGAGAAAAAAAAATTAAAACCACAGGAGAGAGAAAAAAAAGAAAAAAATAAAAGAGAAAGAAAAAGACATAAATTTAGAGAAATATATATATATATATATATATATATATATAAGAAAAATATAATTTTTTTTATAAAAATAAAAATTAGAAACTAAATGATATCAACAAAAGTTTACACTTACACTGTATCAAAATTAAATTTTATTTAAAGTTTAAAATAGAATTTTATTTATATATTATAAATTAAATATAAAAATTAAAAAACATAATTAAAATTGTGAGATGAGGCCAAGTGTGCAAAGGATAATTTGAAGTACATTAAGAATAAACTTTTAGAGAAAAATTGAAGAGTCACGTACATCTCCAACTCATTACATCATTATAAAACATCTTATTTTGCAGAAAAAAAAATCTTATTTAATAATTTTAGAATAAAAATACAAAAATTTAAGTAAATAAAATTTTAACCCTAAATAAATAAAATAAATACTAATATTTTAAATATAAAATTTTTAATTAAATTTATTAAATATAATCGAATTACATGTTATCTCATGCAGTTAAATTGATAAAAATTATATGTACATAATTATATTAAATATGAAAAAGTGACCTTTAAAGTAAAAATAATAATAAACATTAAATAATATTTCATTCATGCAAGCCTAACTTATTAATCATCACATCAATCTTTTATTTACTAACTGCTATTATGAAAAATATAAATAAAATTTTAATATTAAATAAATGAAATGATTAATAGTAAAAAAAATTTCAAAAATTCTAACTTATGTAAAATTTCACAAAATAAAAAGATGATTAATAATAATTTTATGAGAAAGTGTAACATTCAACAATATATGAGCATTAAATTATGTTAAATTCTATAATTTTTAGTAAAAAAATTTATACATAAATATAAATTCTTACTATATGTAATTTTGTTCAAGTTAAAAAAATCAGATTTTAAATTATCAAAAAATAATTCCCCCAATCTTTAGTATTTTGGAAAAATATAAAAGTTTTAGTAAATAAATGAAACAATTAATAATATTTTAAAATATAAAAAAGTATCCTACTAACCTCTCATTTAATGACCACTATTATAAAAATAAATAAATAATAAAATATTACTAATGACTTTGTGGCTATTTAGGTGATATTGAAAAAAAAATAAAAACTAAAAACCCTAAAGCCTAAACTAATGACATTGTGCCTGTTTAGAAAAGTTGGTAAATTGAGTTTACACAGTTATCAAGATAAAAATTTCGTTCTTTTCTCTCAAAGGGTTATGTTTTAATTCTTACAAAACTCATACCCAATAAACACAAGTAGGTCATTTTTAGTTGAACTACTGACCTACTACCTCAATTTAATAGCACTGTTTATGACATGATTGGGCTACTGTTTAATAGGTTACTGGATAGGAAAGTAGAAAACTATCAACAGTAAAACTCATGTAACATATAACAGTTTATTATGACACATCAACTACTTAACTGTAAAATCTATACATGCATGAGCAAGGCACAGTTAACGATGAGGGTAAATACACAAATAAAATCGTCATTTTAACATACCAAATGTATATAATCTTTGTGATCAGAGCTATTGCAAATATATTTTTTATTAAATGGAACTATAGTTATTTTTTTTTTAATAGTTCTTCATTTACATGAATGAAATTCAATTTTCGCATTACTGTGATATATAGGTATAAAATCCATCCCAAAATTCAATAGCATCAACAATATATAATATATACTATTCTTTAGCTTTTGCATATTTTTTGTGGGAGGGGGGGGGGGTATAGGTTATGGTTGGATGAAACTTAAGAGCATTGGATTATCATCATTATCATATGACGAAGCAATAGTCAACAGCAAGGACTGTATGTGTGAATAGGAAGAGTTTATGTACAACTAGAATTTAGAATAGTTGAGTGGAACACTAGGCTGAGACAGCAGCTTGTTCTTCAACAGCTTGTGATGCTGGGAGAAGGGTGCAAATGAGGTTGCGGTCACCGTACACATTATCAACACGTCCTGATACAGGAAACACATATCACATTTATTAGTCAAACAAAACTATGCAGGTAATACACACGACATACCACAGCTTATAATAGAGTTTAACAAACAGTAAATGTGAATGAGGCTATCATTTAGAAGAGCTTAAGGATACCTTATGGAAATAGTTTGAGTCTTATAAGATTGTTTTTTTAGTAAAGTTCTTTATATATTTTATTAAAATAAGTTATTGTCAGCTTATTCATTTCATGATCCAATTTATATCATTAAAGGGGTGTTTGTAATTACAGCTTAATTAAGTATTTATTCAATAAGATCTTTTTATATTATACCATATATTTGACTGTAAAATTTCTTTAAATAAACTAAAGAGAGCTTATGCTAATAAACTATATTGAATAACTTATTAAAATAAGTTTGAGTCATAAGTTATTTTCATAAGTTCTTTCACACGAGACCTAAGTCCTCATGTAACAAGAGCTTATTGAATTAGTGTTTAATTAAATTATTCATCAAAATGTACCCTATATCAAAAAGGGATAACAGGGTAGGTTAACTAGAGAAAGATGCAATAAGAAACATTTAGTAATATAAACAACTACTTGATTACCTGTGGTAGGCCAGAACTTTGAAACACGGAGCCATGAAGCTGGGAAGGCTGCATATTCCCTGGAATATGGTTTTGTCCATGCATCAGCCATGAGCAGTGATGGTGGATGAGGGGCACCCTGCAGAAAATTTATATGATCAATCAAAAGTGCATGAACTAGGTTGAAATTGTGAATGAAATATGCAACCAATGATGTATGCTATTAAATAGTCGAAACTGAAACCAGTATTTCTCTTCCTAGTAACATCATATAAATGAAGAACCGTGCTACATAGTCAAAGGAAAAAAAAAATATTTTACCTTAAGTACATTGTTATTAATGTCAGCCTTTCCTTTCTCAATCTCAGCAATTTCTTTTCTAATGGAAATAAGAGCATCACAGAACCTGTCTAACTCAGCCTGCAATGATGTTTAGTTGCATTAGAGAAGAATTACAGACGAGAGACAACAAAGAAAGAGGGCATCATAAGGACAATAATTTTCCTGTAAACTCATATACCTTGCTTTCACTCTCAGTGGGCTCAACCATGAGGGTACCAGGCACAGGCCACGACATTGTTGGTCCATGAAAACCGTAGTCCATGAGGCGCTTTGCAACATCTTCCGGCTCTATTCCAGCAGTATTCTACAATAGGAATAAATTACAAGTGATCGAAGCATGAAATTCTAAATAATTGAAAAACAACTGCAATCATCAAATTGACTTACCTTAAAGCCTCTTAAGTCAATAATGAATTCATGAGCAACTGTTCCATTGACTCCACGGAAAAGGACTGGGTAATAACTCTGGAGGAGTAAAATAAATAAATACAACAAAGGATCATTTATGCAAACTCAGTAATATGACACTAATCAGGATAAATGGTTCTAATGCAAAGAAGTAAATGTGATCTATACTCTATAATCTATAGTACTGCACTAACCTCCAAGCGTTTTGCCATGTAGTTCGCATTCAAAATGGCTATCTTTGATGCATCGGTGAGTCCTTTAGAACCCATCATGGCTATGTAAGTGTAAGAGATTGGCAATATGAGTGCGGAGCCCCATGGTGCAGCAGAGATGGTACCAAGTGGTTGAGATTTGTCAGGCGCAGGAATTCCACCAGTTGGTACCTTCATTTTGGTGACAGATAAAAAAATACAAAGATAAAGATGTTATTAAACAACTAGAACAATGTCACAAAGAGGAACAATGTCATTCAATCTGGTGAAGTTAAACCAAATACTAATTGTATTTTATTTTCCTGTGAAAACAATGCACTTTCTAAAGAATATAACTAAAAACATGTATACAAAATGTCATGTCATCCATAACCGGGACAAAAAGTGCTTACCACAGGGTGTGAAGGTAAAAACGGTGCCAAGTGTTTCTTTACACCAATAGGACCCATGCCAGGGCCACCTCCTCCATGAGGGATGCAAAATGTCTTGTGGAGATTGAGATGGCAAACATCAGCTCCAATCCAACCTGGGCTTGTAAGTCCCACCTGAAACATGAACCGAGGGTCCAAATATAATTTGATAACTGAAAAAACATCTTCTGAAAATTAGGCACAAATAGATAATTGCTGCATCAACATGACTTGCAGAATTTGGTAACAAGAACATCAGCAGTTGAGTTTTGAAAGAAAACATGTCCAACGATTTTGGATCAATATATGGCTTGGAGAAGACTCAAAAATAGAGGAAAATTAGTTTATTAACAT